CCACTTACAATAACACAAGCAACCAAATCTGACTCATTCCCTCTGCAGATATCCAATATCCATCAATGTGCGATGGTCATGGACGGTGTAGAAAGTGTCAACAGTTCTGGGAAGTGATAGGCCTTGCATTGCTAGACTCCAACCACATCAAGTCAAGCCTCCCCTCTCTCCGGGAGGCTATGGATGGAAATATAGCCCAGAGGGAATACACATGTGGCAAGAAAGAAGCAACTGACATGTACATGATTCTGGAGGTGGGATGCTTCCTGTTGGCCATTTTTCACAAGAGAGTACCATCCAATATACTATGGGGCTTTGATATGGTTAGGACAGATTGTCCAGAGCTCAGCATGCCCCTGGCAGGTGAGCCCGTGATCATCAGGGGGCGAAATCACTATGTTGGACTCAGAGCTGCCCCTCCCTTGCTGAAGCAAGAGTAAACTCCCGCTAGCCCTAGCTTTCGTGCTTTGGGCGAATCTGCGAAGGTGGTCTTAAGAAGGCGGTCTTTCTGCGAAGATGAGCGAGTTTTTTTGCTTTTCTGCTGTGGTTTTTGCTCGTGAATATTATTGAATATGCGTAAATAACTTACTTCAATGGACGTGGGCCAGGTGATGTCCAACTATCTGGATCTCAACTTGCTTGCCATCAGCCTTCCGCGCCTCCGGCAGGTAATGCCAACACGCGGCACCAAACCTGAGGGAATCTGCACAGTGTCAGCTCCTTTGCCAAACATCCTCAAAACCCCAGAAAATGATAGAAACATGCATGAGCACGGTAACAAGCAGATTCCATGTCGTACGGCAGCAACGATGGCCCCCCTTTCGTTTCTCCTTCCTGTTACTGTTCATGTTAGGAATTAGAATGGATTAGATAGATAAATCATCTATGTATGCTACTCGGTCATGGTACTCAGTACAGTGGACGAAGCCAACAAGCCAGGGCAATTTCTTTGACTTACACAAAACGTTACAAAAACACTAATTACTGAAGACATCTGTAGACTACATAGTCTGATAGGCATGGTGGGCATGTCATTTTGGTTTTCTGTCTAGATGTGTTCCAGCACTATGAAACGCCGGAATGTCCCCGCACTATGAAACGCCGGAATGTCCCCAACAATCCAATCAATATATATCTAATGAACTAATCTCTGACCATCTCTGACTATCTTTGACTATCCTCTTTCCATCAAATGAGGGTATTTCCCATTCACCAGTCTAGCAGTCCGATTTGTGGCTGCTCTCGCCTCACAGCCTCTCGCCGAGTTGCCTCCGCCACAGCGACCTCAAGGCGCTGCTGCGAGCGCTGCGATCTTGTCGATGGCCAGTCCCAGCCTGGCTGGCGCAGCTGGCGCTGAATTCAAAATCAAAGGCACCCGTTGCCTCCGCAAAAACGAGGGCGACATGGCCACATTGTAGAGCACAAAGCATTGACTTTGAATGTATCGGATTGTGGTTTTGGGGATGCAGGTGTTGAAGACTTGAAGCCTCTGGGTAATGTTGGTGACACACGGCTTGGCTGTTACTTTATTTCCAATTGCCACAAAGCTTTGGCTGTGTGTCACTGCAAGTGAGTTTCCTGTGGGTAAGTGGAAGGAATCAAAGACTCGTTGAGGCTTTAGAGCACAGCAGGCACTCCATAGGTCTGATTGTAGAAGCGTTTGAATGCCGAAAGGCTGCTTGGCTGGATGGCAAAATTGGACCTTAAAGACACTCCAATGTTTGGCAACCAGCCTCTGTCAGTCTTGTTTCAGCCACCGAAATGACGAAATGACTATTCTGTCAATCTGATAACCTCAAGTCTCAAGCGCATTTTTCTATTCCATTGCGCGTGCCCTGTGGCGTCGGCACAAGCGCCCGAGACAAGGCCTTCCAAGCATGTTCATCAGCCTACTGTCAAGGAAAAAATGCATTGTGTCACTTATGTTGCAAGGAATTCACTCTGCCACGACCTCCCAAAAGGATCATTTAAGAATGAACCAAATACACTTTAAACTTTAAACATAGTCAGGTTGACACTAGAGCACTCATCAACCTAAGGCATGTGTTTCTATTCTCTCATTTTTTCTCAATCAGTCGACAACATCTCAGGACATCCTGCCTCACACATCTGACACTGGGATGTGCTCCCAGGAGTGGAAGTTTTGAAGACCTCTGGCAGCCACCAGAAATGATGACTGTAGCACTCCAATGATGACTCTGCAGAGGGAGTCTCCGCCTCTGTGCCCCCCAAACAGAAGCTTTTGAATAACATCATGAATATCAAGGATTCTGAGATAGTGAGGATATCTGAGGATATAAGTTATAAGATGTTATAAGCCCAAGCTCAAGCTGACAGCTATGAAATGGTATGAAACAAGCCCCACAGTACGACATAGCACCTGGACTCCGATTGCTGAGGGTATGGCAACTAGAGGTCAACAGGCAACTTGTTGCCCTCGATGACCGCCTCTTCCACCTGCACAAAGCCATCCCCTACATCTTCTTGATGCAGGATGATGCAGGATGCTTGCGGTATGGCGAACTGTAAATGACACAAAGTTCAAACGCAGCAGTATGTTTTTTTTAAATGTTTTTCTGTGCTTGTGGAGGCGACATAGGCAGATTCTTCACAGAACAATTTGTATAAAAAACATCTGAACCAGTTCTCCCGGAATGCTCCCTGCAGAGTTGAGCTGTATCCTTCCTCTTTTCGCAGGCACTGTCCCCTGTGGCAAAATCTTCACCCTTCATGCCTTGTCCTTGGTGATGACCAGAGATCGCACCATTCCACCAGAGCTGCCATCTCGACTAATTGCCAGTGCAGTTGCCTTTTGCACGAACCTCAGTTGGATTTATGGTTTCTGCAACGAAAATGGAGCTTTGAAAAATGGCACTTGAATTTAGAGTAGCTTCGTCTAGCTCATCAAATCTCATCAATATCCACAAGGGTTGATGACCTTGCGGAAGAACATGGAAGAACCATCCGAGCAACTCAAGGCACTCGGCTTTTGACATACCTTGGTGGCGAAAACAATGACTCATCTTGTGAAAAATCCAACAGCAAGTTGTGGTGCCCTTATGGTGCCCTTCTGATATCAACTAGCCCAGCCAGTGCAACATGTCCTACTCTATCTCTTTCTATCTCTTTCAAACATCAAACAAACTCTGGCTGGTGATGCGCTCTTCCACGTGCATACCAGCTGCCAGGTCGATAGTTCGCATCCATGAAGCCCTTGATGTAGCCGGAGCCCGAACCATCAGCTGCATAAGGAACACGAACGCGTGTTCCACCGAGGGGGATGGAGTAGATCTCACCGAGGCTGAGAAGGCCGAAGGCAAATGGGGAACTTGAACTTATCCGCAATGGGTCCCACAAATTCCCACAATGATCCACAATGTATTTTGCACCCAAGTATTTGATACTATTATTTGCCAACATCTTTCAGAAGGCAAAAGAAAGCAAGGACCTTTGACCCACAACATGTTGGTGTTTACAAGACCCACCGGCATGATCCTTTCATAGCCAAAAAGGCGTTTCAGACTGTGCCTGTCCACCCTTCTTGTCGTCATATCCTGCGACAATGAGTCCCGCCAGCAAATGATCCTGGTGCAGATTCAGTCTTGGAACTGTCAGCACGCTATGGCTTTCAATTTGTACGATCATGTACGATCCATGAAATCCATGAACTGTAAATATGGGACTTTCGTTTGTGCAGACTTGAAAGACATGCAGGCAAAATTGAGGCACTTTTACAATTCTTACTTGTCGGCCTGCTTGCTTATATGATTTTACTTGCTTGTATTGTATGAACATGCCATACAAATCCATGCATTGGTTTCACCTTCGCCGCCAAGGTCCTTGTTGTTGTAGGCCATGATTTTGAAGAGATTGGCAGCGGTGTTGACTGTAGGTTGCTTCCTTCCAGCATGTGTGAAAGCCATGGCTGCTGCATAGGAAAACGGCGAAAACTCTTGCGGGGCATGCAAAACGTATCAAAACGTCCTTGTGTTGAAAGTATCAAACTATTGATTACTATTGAAGCTAGAACATTGAACACATTGAAGACATTGAAGACATTGAAGACATTGAACACATTGAACATTCCAGGATTAAATACCAGGGATCTAGTGAATTTCTATATCCATACTATCTGGCAAATCCTACGGCTAAGCCGCCCGGCCCAAGTTCCACAGCATGTTGGCCCAGGTAGTGCAACACGAAGCTGGTCAAGGCCTGAGGCAGGAGGGATGCCTAGATCATCAACAGTGGGGCCCAAGCCAACATACATGTTTATGCCTGCGGACCGAAAACCGTTCCCGTAAAACGCACGTTTTTGAATATCGCGATTGTGGGGTGGGGTGGGGTGGGGTGGGGTGGGGGGGCATGTTAAAGTTCCTTGTACCTCGTACATGATATATTGCCATGCTGCTAAGATCTCTGGGATTATTTACTACGTTACATGTTGCTACGCTGCTGAGATCTCTGGGATCGTTTACTACGTTACATACATGTTGCTACGCTGCTGAGATCTCTGGGATCGTTTACTACGTTACATACATGTTGCTACGCGGCTGAGATCTCTGGTATCGTTTACTACGTTACATGTTGCTACGCTGCTGAGATCTCTGGGATCTTTTACTACGTTACATGTCGCTACGCTGCTGAGATCTCTGGGATCGTTTACTACGTTACATGTCGCTACGCTGCTGAGATCTCTGGGATCTTTTACTACGTTACATACATGTTGCTACGCTGCTGAGATCTCTGAGATCTCTGAGAGCTTGGCAATGGAGATGCATTCACAAGAATGCTGACTGCCAGCTGTTTACTACGCATGCGTTGCAGCGATGACGCTGAAAAACGAAAAAACGCGCCCCAAGTTTTTCCAGGATTTCCAATCATTAAATTAGCACGGCACTGTGGTAAAATCATCATTTTTTTTAAAAAATGTGCGTTTTATGGGAACGGTTTCCGGTCCGGCTCATATACACACCTATACAATTATACACATATACACAATTATACACATATATATATATATACATTACAATACAATAAAATACAATAAAATAAAATAAAATACAATAACATGCAATAAATACACACATTACATACATCCATGCATCCATACATACATTCATACATATGATTCATACATTCATACATATGATTCATACATTCATACATTCATTCATTCATATATATTTATATCATTTTATATCCATATTTATGTATAATTCATACATTATATACATATATAATTCGGGATGGCATGGACTGCTGCATGGAGACATTGGCGGACTTGATCTGACCCAACCCCAAGAGCGCGAGGGGACTGCCTGGGTATCAGCTGCACTTCCGCTTCGGCAAACGAAAATCCGGTCGTGCACCTGTCGAAAATCACTGGGCAAAACAAACCACTGCGACGCGTCATTCAAACGGCGCCACTGTGACAAGATGTGACAAGCAGCTTCTTCCTTGGACTGTATGAGAATATGATATGTGAGTGATATGTGGCATTGTTGGGTTTTGATGCTTCTATGAGCACTGAAGCCAAAGACTCCGCATGACTGCGCTCTACTCTACATTCGATGCTTCCTCGTAATCGATAGCCCTGCAGATGCCCTAGAGGACAGTACATCAACTATGTCCATCGTTGTTGTTTCAAATAACTCATGCCAAATGATGCCAGCAATTCCAAGGGCTAACAGCTATTGCACCCTTTAAGAGTGCCGATGCTGGGACAAATGCGACAGCTCTGACAATTTCATACCTTACACATGCTAAGTGGAAGCAACATCATTTTCTTCAAGAATAATTGCTTGTACTTAAATGACTCAGAATATCGACTTGATTTCCCAACTGTCTTGGCTTCAAAGCTCTGCTAACTGGTCACACTCATGCACACCGCTGCAACAATCCACGCTTGCTGCGATAGAACGACAGCTTAGAAACACGACATTTTTAAAGGCCTTCGAGATCTTTCGCGAAGCTCGGTTTGCACAGTATTGGCCTGGAGCCGATGCTGACTATGGGAAACAAGACTTGCTGTTGCCCTGAAAAAACTTAGTTTGCTTTGGGCTGAAGCCATCAAATATTTGAGCCCAAGCTCTCTAGACTCTAAGGAGACTCTGCGTCAAAGGGTTTGGTCACAAACGTAAGTTATGGTAAGTTACTGCCTTCCATCCAAGCAAGTCACCCAATGAATCTGTCTCTGGATACTGCCTGTGGATGTGCGAGTGTCTGCGCACATGACAACACCACCATCGAATTCAGCAACGACAAGGGTCCTTAGTGCAATGAAGCATTTACTTCTACCCAGGGTTCCTGCTCGAACATTTTATTGTTTGATTTGAAGCCACGTCGGTCCCCAACCCATCCCAAAAACAGTCCATACCAGCAAAAGAGATTTGAAAGCTAAAAAATGCCAGTCTCCAGGACAGGGGGAATCTGAGCAAAGCCCCTAGAAGGATGCTGCAAGGTGACGATGGATTGGTTTTTAGTCTCACGAAGACCAAACGCTGCTCGTTCAATCATTCAGAGATATTCAGAGTGTCTCCTAATCATTGGCAATAAACTTCCAGGGCGTTGGAGTTCAAAAAACACTGTTGCGGTATGTTGAGGTCAACTCCATTGCGATTCCGTTGTGCAAAAGATAGAGATTCATATAGTCACTATCCATACATATGCTCTCTCTCTCTCTCAGAAAATTCACACAAGCCCTTCTTTATTCTTCTTTGACAGACAAAACACATCGCCTCATGCGACTTCGGATGACTTCGGTATAGTAACTCAGACAAAGCTCGTTCCAGTGGACACCGCCTGCTCAGGCTTCATGACATCATCAGCTCGGTATGGGCCTTGGTGACGATCGGGGGCTCTTCCAACCTTCCACGACTTTGGGAAAAGGACTCGAACAGCTGTGCCTTCATGAGTGACTTCATGTCCAATTGAGTAGTTCCCAAGTGAGTTGGGTTTCATCAAAAGGTCTGAACCGGAATGGTTTCAAAAAGATGTGCAGCAATGAATCTCAAGTAGAGCACGTGAGTCAAGTGGGATATGTTCTACACGTCTCTCCTGTAAATTATGTGACTCTGCCTGTTTGCGTGTAAGTTGTTTCACCAAGCTTCGGCTGCATTCAAACACTTGTTTCCAGTCAAATTGCACATGTCATTACAATTCCTATACAGTGCTTTGCAACGATGCACACTACAGAGGCAGAAAGCAAGATATTGACAGGATTAAACTTTGTATGGTAGCTTGATGTGTCAATCCTCTCAAACGCTTTTCACTCAGCTATCAAAGCCAACAAGCATGGAAGGGTATGAACTAACTCAGCATCTAAGTTCCCGAACAGCCATCTTCCACGTGACGAACAAACTCTTGTCCCACTGGCCTGAAGTTACAGTAAAAACATGGTCGCTGTGGTTGTATCTCAAGAAGCGTTCATCTCGTTTGAACGTTTGATTACCTCTGAAATCCACATTTGCTACCTTCTCATAACAGCACACTGCAAGAGTGAACAGTGAACCCACATTTTGTTGATTGCAGAAATATGTCTTGCTCACTTTCATGCCAGAGAAGCACTCTGCAATGATTTCCCAACATTCCCCCAACTACAGTATCCGAAGGCTGACCAATCAGTGAAAAGGGTTGCAACTCAATCCACCCAAGCACCCTGCCTTTGTGCCATGAAGTCCATCATCTTGGCTCACCCAACAGTTCTCCACTTTTCGTGCCCAGTTTCTACTGCGATTGAGCCAATTGGCAAGTCATTGCGCTGAAGATGTCTAAACCACATGTGTAAGTGCAGTAGTTGAAAGCACATTTCACTTTGTATTAGCCAAGCCTCGTTAGTTGCAGCTTCACTTGCCCATTGTATCATTTTAGATTGTGGTGTCAGCATGTGTCAGCGTTGGAAGTATCATCCAAAGACACAGTGCCAGGCAGCCCAGGCTGTTTGAAGCCTACCCGGGGACATAACCCAGTCTACAGCACACTCCCTTGAAGAAGTGGTAACCCGCGCTGACTTTTGCATCTCTTTTTGGCTTAAACATGTCATGCAGGTGTACCCCTCAGTCCAACGTTAGAGCAAAGTACACAATGCCAAAATTTGAGCGGGTTGTGCGCTCAGTCGGACATATGATGAAGTGTCCAGCTTGGATCAGCTTGGGATTCCCGCAGAGTTTTTTCCCATGCACAATGTAAAAACAAACCCTCTCTCACCTCTCAGGATATGTATGTATGTATATATATATTATTCTATGTTATATTATGTTATAAAATGTTATAATTATTATAGTTCAGCTATTGTTCAACCTGCGTTCAGCAACTACTCACCTAATGTTTTTGTTGTTCCTTTGATTGAAGAGGTTTCATCTCTGCAAAAGAGCTGAGAGGGTGATGTTCCTGTTTCAGTTAAGTGCAAATATGTGCAAATTAAACAAGTGTTGTTTTGATGAGGGGTAGATCTTTGACATTTCACATTCATTCCATAAATCTTTGTGTTTTCTGGCTTCTTTGATTGTATAGCTGCTCCTTGGAGACAAATCAGGCCTAGCTACATCCTTCGAAACCAAGCTTCAGCTACTTGACCTGACACGTGAACGGGCGGACCAGTCAGTGAATCTACGTTTTTCGCTACGAAACATGTTCAGGAAGGTGGAGTAGTCTAACATCCTTCCACATCCTTCCGAAATATTTTGGCAGATGTTCGATTGGTTTATATATATATATGCTGGAATTCCATCAACCATGAGACATTTGGAGACTCTTCATGTCCTTGGACCCACCCAAAACTGTCGTGCTGAGCTGTCGCACCCTTGAAGCCTTTGGGCCATCCTGACATCACATGGCATTGGTGACCCATTGGTGGCCTCCTTTTCAACTGCGTCCTGAGACAGATGAGACAGACTTGTCACTGATGACTTAAGGTGCCTCTGCCAAGCCGGGATGCCAGTTGTATGCTGAGGGCGGCCTGGCCAATTTACAACGTTGATCTCGAGTCAGTCAAACAATTGTCAAGTCACCCTCTACTTTCAAGTGGAAGCGACAAGATCACATTGTTGCCATGTTGCCATCTTTCTATGCCCACAGAGAGAACAGTGTCAAGAACAACGAAACCTTGTGATTGGGCTTTTAAGACTTTGCCAGATCTTGAAACACACGTACTGTAGGATGCATTTTTACATTTTTGTTCTTCTTGGAGGCCTCTTTCAGGGTCTGAAAGCTTTGAAAACAATGCGGCGGACTGCCTGACTCCACAGAAGAAGTGGGTTCAAAGACCAGCGGCCTTTTGAAAGTCTCACGCTCTAGACAAAGAACTGCCACCGACCAAAGGTCGGTAATCTTATGGCGCACAGCGAGCCATCCAATTGCTCCACAGTGAGCTTCGCTGTTCTCCGAAACTTTTTACATGTTTGCTAGAAACATCTATACAACATGAACAAACACTAATAATCAATGTCATTCAACGTCCAGGAGTCCATGAATATCCAAACCATGCAAGTAGCGTTTCCTCTCTTGTGCATAAGATTGTAAAAGTCCCGAATATTTTTGAGCATGGACGGAAGTAGATGGACTCCCACCATGACAGGTGCAGGTTCGATGTACTGAAGTGCTACAAGATTCTACAAGGCTGAAAGCGATCACTCGCTACACCACTGACATGGATCACTAAATGACCCCACTTTGTAATGACCTGATGCGTATCGGCATGGTTTTATTCCGGCGGCGCTTGAACATAAGCCAATTTGTCAGTCCAGTCAGGACTGCCCGGAAAGGCTACCTACTTTGCTGCTGGTGAAGCTCACTTTGCGGATGGAGAGGATGTCTTTGGAAGAGTTTCTGGCTTGCTGATGTCCTCTTTATCAGCGGCAGATACATTTTTCAAACACAGATGCATAGAACGTGTTGCATTGGGACACCAAGAGGTGGAAGGTGACAGTGCACTCGAATGCAAGCTTTCAGGAGTCGACATGTCAAAAGGACCTCCAACCACCAATAATTCTACGTACAATATGAAGCTACAAGTACGGGATTCCAAGGGCAAAGGTCAACAGTGGTTGAAAGCACCCGAACTGCCCAGTCCTGGCTGTCTTCATGTCAAGCTCCGTCTTCTCTCCCTTTACTTCAGCAGTGCAAGTCGCCCTAGCACTGCGAACAACCGATCATTGCAAATCAACAAATCTGGAAGTCGATGGGAAATCGCTACGGGATGCAGTAGAAATACTGCAAAGTAGAAAGATGAGAAAGTCGAGTCAATCGTCCTAAGAGCTGGGGCATTTCCATCTTTTCTTGCCAAATTGTTTAAATCGCAAAAATGCCAAAGCAAGACTCGACATGGCCTGCCGCTATATGTTGGCCCTCGCAAGATGAGCTCGGTGGCCGACTGTCCAACGTGCAGATGAACAGGAAACTAATGATCTGCTGCTGGGAATTGTGATGTGATCTGATCCTAAATTCATTTCCATACTTATCATATCTATTCATATCTTCTCTCTAGACAAGAGTCTATCTACAGAACAACTTGAAACCACCTAGGATCCTGGATGTCCCGAGAACATATCTTGTGAATTCTTATGATGCAATGAAAGCAAAAGCACTGCGAATAGTGATTGTGTATTTCAAGTACCTACCAGTATGGTGCAGTGCATTGGACATGACCAACTCATTTTCGGGCATGAGTTGGATTTTCTCCCAGACCTCAGTTTACCAAGCTTACCCCACGTACGCATATGTACTCACTCTCACTGTACTAAACGAATCTAAACAGAAGTTTCTTGGCACACGAGCAGCAGCAAAAGACTGTGTAAAACCAATGGGCACCATTTCGGTTTGCAATTATTTTTCATCCAAGTAATGTAGAACCTGATTGATATAGGATCACTGTCAAAAGACTGATGTAGCCAAAAGGACCGCCCAAAATCCTTCCAACCGATAGCCCGCGGCATGGGAAACTCCCGATTTTTGGCTGCCTACCAGTCTATCTTCTCTCTGTTGAAAGTAAGACCTGGCTGCGTGCATTGAAACTGTCGGCGAGCACAAATGTAGATCTCTCTGGTGTGCGCAGGGTAATACTTTGATCGCGCGTTCTCCCAGATTGCACCCACAACCCACTCCAACGGCTTCACAAAGCCCTGCTTCAAGCAGTTCTGATCAATAAATTTCTTTGCAATATCAGCCGCCGACATGCCATCGACAGCTTCTGCATACAAGGTCTTGACACAGCCTCCTGCAAGTTTAACTTGCACAGGGTACTTGTGTGCCATATGTGCGTTCTGATCATTGGGCCTTTTCTCAGTGGACAATGCTTGGGAGCTTGCATTCTCCGGAGATCGAATAGAAGCGATGCTCTCCGGAACAAAAGATGTTTGGAAGGCTGTAGCATCATTGATGTCATCCTCAAGCGATATCAAGAAGATTATCTCCTGACGTCAGCAACAAACCCAAGAGTTACACCAATTGTGTTGAAGGTCTGCATTGATGCCTAGAAATCCCGTGGAAAATGTGGAAAGGCTACTATCTTTACAAGATTGAATCAAGACAGACAGGATCTGGGAAGCTTTCCAGTCACAATGAACGCACAAAATCGCACAAAATATATCAAAATATCACAAAGTGACTTCGCCCATGTTTTGTGTCCAATTTGTGCATGGGTTTTGAGTAATCTGAACTTTAAGTACATCATCAGGTATGGCGTAGTCCGCCAAAAAAAACAGAAAAAACATACAAGAACCAAGGGACATGGCCATCATCTGCACTCCAAATTGAAAAATACTCCGTCACCTCCGCTGTGAAGATCTCTGGAACGGGGCCCTCTAAGCCGTAGAAAAGTGCTTCAGCACGCAAGGCTTCCAGAAAGGTCCGATTTCGGCCCCGGTCTCCAAGCAGCCAGAACCCAGTGCGAAGATATTCCAATACCTTGAGCTTTCTTCAATTTGAGTGTTGCAGATTCCCTGTTTGCTAAGCCTACAAGTCTGCTGAAACATCTCAAGCAGTACTCATTCTTCTCAACGCAGGGATCAGCGAATTTGGAATTGGCGGGAATCAGCCCCAATGGCATCTGCATGCGATGTTTTTTTCATTTCAGGGGCCTACAACTGGAAAGCACATGTCATATTCATGACCTGTCAACGCTTTTTGAGAAGATCATTTAGACAAAACTCTACCAGTGGCTGCCAGGTAACATATTCAAATAAAAAACCAGAGCGATCCACGAAGAGATGCCCATGGTGGTCAACAGAGCGTCCCAACGATCCGCTTGGTGATCGGTGGTCTGCTGCTGCCTCGCTCAAGCGGTGGTGGCGAAGCATGGCCTCGAAAAATGGAGCTTTCCTGAGATGCCAAGATGACGAAAAGAAGCTTCGCCACCTCTGGGTAGTTCCCGATTGTTGCGAGGCATTGAATTTCATAATATAATTTCATGAAAGCTTTCTGGAGCTCATTTCTCAACCATGGAGACAAACAAATCATGAAGCATCAACATGAACAAAACTGAACCACGTGAAAACCGATGAAACAACGTTGGGAGCTCTTTCGCTCCGACATCTCAACTTTCTCCAAGCATCTCCAACGTTGAAGGGGTAGTTGTAAATAGCACCTGATTCGCAGTTGGAACTGAAGGAATTGCAGCAATGACTATTATATCAAACCCCAAACATCCGTTTTCCCACAAGCAGAGCGATCCAAGCCAAGATTTGTGATTGCATATCTTTCGCGGAACTCATTGTGATGTCCAGTCCTCAAGCCACTTCAAGGGATAGTGACCATATTGCGGCGAAGGGACTCCACCCACATTCAGCACCAGAGGTGAGCCATGGACAATGGTGGACGGCTCACTGTGCTCCATGCCATGCGCAGAAGGACACTGACGCCAGTTCCATTCCGGCGACCAGTGAAACAAATCGCAGGAGTGTAAACCTCTCCATATAGATCCATACATAGTACAGATATGTACAAATAATGGTCCGTATCCGAAAATTCTATGTAGCAAGTGCGTCATGTCATGCTCTCAGAATCTCTCAGACTCATTGTGCCATTGAGGGCTGCATGTGAAACTGACTTCTGTGTCATTCTCCCGTGGCCCTGGACCAATTGTTTCACAACCGCGCCGAATCCAAATTGGCTCAAGAGGTGGCCGGGCCAAAACGCCTTTGAGGTCGCACAAATATTCACTGCCAACCATGATCGCGAATGGAAACTTGTAACAAAGGTCGTTGCATCTGCAGGCAATGCAAAAAACTGTGGTTGTTTAACCGTTTAACCTGCTGCATTTGCCGATGGAGGAGACTTTAAGTCTATCACCGATGCCAGCACTTGACGAAATCAACACTCATGAAATATAACCGTCAATTATTGAATTCAACATGGGGCATCGCTATCTGGAAAGGTCCCATCGCTAACCTCAGTTTTTTGCACTTTCTAAAAACCAATGTCCAGCCAATACATATCTTAGTATCCGCGAGTTTTGACGGTTGCTCATATCACGACACCAAAACAATCCAAAACAAGCAATGGTATCCCATTGTATCCCATGGTATCCCATGGTATCCCTACGGCAGCAATCTTACCACCCTTCAATTTTGTGCTACCGATTTGTTCACCTCACCTTAGGTCACCTCTGTAGAAAACTTTTGACTCAGCGCCCCTCGATTCGACTCCCCTCGGTGTCAGCCTCCCGCGGTTCTGTGGCAAACTCAGGCACTGTGCAACACCTTGGCAGATGCGAAAGGCTTCACTGCGAAGCTGGTCTGACCACTCATTGGCCAAATTATGTGTACTAGCGTATAACTAAATAGTAGTAATTAATAGTAATTAGATTCAATTAGTTGGATGCCATTTGGGTGCCAAATGTGTAGTTGTCTACTGTCTATTGCCAAATTTCAGTACCTGATACACATTGTAACCTTTTGAACAAAGCATTACGTCTCGGAATGTCTCGGAAACACTGCCCCATCATGCCCATTCACGTAATCCAGGGTGGTCTGCTGCCATGACATGCCATCCGATTAACGCATGTCGCCCCCCCAACCCACTGGGCTCCCGAGCTACAAATTGTGAGCCGCTGGCCAGTGATGTCTGGTCTCAAAGGAATCCCGTCCTTGGACTCAGAAATCTCTAGAGCATTCAAACCTACATGCACTTAAACATCAAAAACAATTTGGACATATTTGGACTATGTTTCACTGCATGCAACCTGGATACACCTGTCTTGTCTAACTATGACATATCTTTGTGATTCTTTGAGCTGCAGCCGTGATACTTCATGACCTGCCATCCGCACAGAGTAAACCCGCTCGTCGCACTCAACCTCAGACACAGCCCACCTCAATGCTTGAAGAGTCTTGAAGCGATGCGATGCAAAACGATGACATCCAAAATATGCTAAATGCATCTAAACGCTACATGTATCTGACATATTCTAAAATTATCTAAACAACATCCGAGGAATTGGTCCAGAAGTTTTAATGTCACAAGATGCACATGATCGACTGAAAGACGGCTTGCTGCGCGACTCAAGTCTGCAATGCGATGACTACCGATGACTCATGTTTCCCGATTCTATGCACATCATAAGCTTCCAACATCTTGATGCGTGGAGTTCCTCTCACAGTTCCTCTCAAGGTGTTTCAAAGCCAAAGAGCTGCGATTAACTTGGCAGTCGTTGAAGACCTTGGCTTTGTTGAATGTCTCCTCCAATAAGATGCATCTGCTCGTGGTAAGTGCCAGGCCTCTGTTGAGAGGGTGGTTTTGGGACAAAATGCCTCAAATGACAGGCAAGGCACTGTGTTTTGACCTGCTGAATGCACCCGGTCAGCCATAGCGGCAAATAGAAGGGGCCGAGAAATGACTGTCAGCCGGGTGGCGCTGCAACAGCTGGACGGACCTCAGGCAGTGATGGTTCGTTCGATGTGTCACGGCAAAATTGCTCTGATGGCTTTATAGCTGTAAAATGCTGTGAAATGCTGTGAATAGAATGTGTTTTGTACCACGTGCTTTGCCTTAGCATGTGATCCGCTGCCCAACGGAGTATCTTTTGCGGCGCTAGCGATGTTGGAAGGTCGGAGACTCAGTTGTGGCTCAGTTGCACGACGTCCTAGAGAAATCACAACAGGAGATACCAGTAACATGAGACATGTTAAGAAGTCCTGCACCACGAATGCAACATGTATTCAGCATTGTTCAGCATTCTCTCTTTTCTTTGTTTCTTTGTTTCATTTTTCGTGAATCTATGTGAATCTATGTGAATCTGTGAGCACAGATACTTGCAGGATGCCATCAACATCACTTCTGTGCGCCAGGTCCTCCAAATGCACCTTCAGCAGGTGAATGGTGCACAGCACCGTGCACCGATGTGCACCCGTGCACCGACCGTCCCTCACTTGGAGCGTTGTCTCATCTTGCGTCTCTTCTTTTGCAAACGTCGAGTGCGCTTCCTCGGCGTGACGCAGGTGCAGCTGAGGGAAGACATGGCGAGACGCTGAAGGCTTGAGTGGCACAGCAGAAACCATCGTGGATTGAACACTGACGGCAAGACCATTTGCAGTATTGATATCTTTTATCATATATGTAACTATGTATAATAAACTTTTATGTGACAAGCTGGAAAGCCTCGACAGAAAAGAATCTTTCTATGATGCTTAAGTTAACATCCGAAACTATCCTAGAAGTACGCAAACCATTGGAAAAAATACTATAGATGTTCGCAAGCATCACTGGAAGCACTTCCGCCAAGAATCTTCTTCCACTTCCAGCGGAACTTGGATCTCGCCTGGCAGGAATCGCATCTGTGGGTGCCGGAAAATGTGTAAAGTTTAAAGAAGTCTCCCTGTGGACATCCATACCATCAAGATCCATCAAGAAATCGCTGTGTTGTGGACCTGCGGATCATTCGGCAACGTAGTGAGGAGTTCTTACTTCGGAGGGTACGGCTATTCTAGGCCATCCCCTCATTTGATGAAACCAGGGGACAGTGATTTGTTATTGCCCAAGGAGTGCCCAGACCATCTTAGCCTCTGCCCTCTCAACCCCAAAGAGGCTGCCTTCTTGTATGGATTACTCTTGTGCGCCATGGCGCCCGTGCCGCAGCTGAAGCCGCAAAGGCTACGCGGATGCTACGCGGCTATGCCATGCCATGGTGGGGTGGAATTAAAGTGATCAAACATGTTGCAATGATCCGATACGATCCTTCATCATCTGTGTTTGGACATGTTCTTTAGAACCCAACTTCATGTCATGACCCATGACCCATTATGTTCAGCTTGTCCATTCCCAGGTTGCAAAGTAAAAGATGCATCCCATCAAAAACCATGCTTCTGACAAGCTCACAAAAAGAAGCCGTCAATGGCTTGACTAATTTGACTAGCCGACAGTCTCAGATCCCAGCCATCTGGTCAGTGCCTGAAGGCAAAATAAAGTATCCAGCTCTTTGACAACGTCAGTAACCTCGGCGGAAGAAGACAAACACAAACCTCAACTAGAATCTAAATAGACTGACTGTTCGCTATAAGATCAACAAGTGAAGGGAAATTGTGCGTGTGGCTGGGTCAAGGAGAAATAATGCCAATAAACAGATTCAATCGTGAGCCAGCACTAAAACTTGCAGCAAACATCTTGTACCAGCAGCAATAAAGTCTATGAGGAAAAACATTCCTGCATAGACTGCGTGAGCAAGTATTTGTTGAGTTTGTTACATCTAAGCAGCTCCACAATGCCGTAGATCTCAGCAGCCAGAAGCGAGGCTCCACTTCGCTTGACTGAGATGTTGGAGCGCACCTTGGCAGGCAAACAATCTCTGGGCCATTCTAGGTGAACAAATGTTCACGACCGGCACGGCGCAATGACGATGTGAGTTTGAACATGCTTGAATGATGAGAACTGATGTAGGCATTTATTTGGCAATCCTTGACTCAGCTCTTCTATTTTTTTTTGTGGGTCGAATGGGCACAGCTGCTTTGCTGCTCATCACATTGCCAACCAATGATTGACTGGTAAGGCGCATGGATATTGTCAAAACTTTCTGCCCAAATCTCCAAGCTCTGCAGGGCGGGAACCTTCTCGTCGACATGGACCAGAAAGCTATGACCTCGACATACCTCGACCCAGTATTCAACAGCTTTAAATCACTTTGTAGCCAATTTGGCAGCCTCGAAACTGTTTGGTGCGATCCTGTTGGTGCTGGTGGTGCTACCTGCTATGTCATGCGCTTCACTCTCAAAAAACAAGAGGAGGCGACCTTGCCTCTGGAGACACCAGTGAAGACCTCAGGCAAGTGCGGATTTGAACAATCAAAGGGCTGTACTCTGTGATCTCTCACAACTGTCAACTGTTGGCCAGCTACAATCAGTTTCAACGACCTTTGCACCACTGGATTACTGGATTCTCCACCACTACGGCTTCAAGCAGGATGCAGTGACGCAAACTTTTTGAGATGCGCAATCAGCCGGTCAACTGCTTCCATCATCAGTCTCCTTCACATCTGCTGAGTCTGTTGAACCCTCGGCCAGAAAGCTCCTTACCAGAACGCTCCTGCGAAAGCATGAAGTAGGAGTGAAAGTCATTGGAAATCGGGAATGGGCACAGAATGGACTTCTACAAGTAGTACGAAATTAAGTAGTTGTTAGTTGACAGACTCCTTCAACCGATGAATTTGCTTTGGGCTGTGTGGGGTAGAGAAGCCTGACTTTCAAAGTGGCGACGGCCACGGCCAGCCCTTTCATGCCCTTTCAACATACTCTCAACCGGCCGAGAGAACTGGACGATCCATCACGATCATAAATCATTGATTCAAAGGTCACACGATTCACATGATGATTTAGCCGCTCCATCTAGACTTTGTGTTTCTGCGCGTCCTTCATCTCTCACTTTGATCGTTGCCTCATCTTGCGTCTCTTCTTTTGCAGGCGTCGAGTGCGCTTCCTCAGAATGGGATATGAGCGTTTTGAATCTGCCAAGGTACGACCTTGGAAATGGCACAGGACACACCACGTGACTGTTTGACCAATCCTTCTACCAACTTGTTCTTTTTGTAATCTTTTATAATATTTTATAATCTTTTCCAAGATTCTTCTTCCACTTCCAGCGGAACTTCGAGCGCGCCTGCAAACACAAGTCAAGAGGATCTTTGTGAAGGTTCGACTAGGAAGGATACAAACCCTCCGTGATGCAGTGCTGAGCTTAGCCATCCTTACAACTACAGTAACTACAGGACAACCGCAACCATTCACCTCAAAGACTCCCTGGGTCAAAACACGCAGTGTCACATTTTCTGCCACAAGCAGGAGCAACTCCCACATGCTGCAACTGTGCCTTCTTATAGGGATTGCTTTTGTGCGCCATGGCCGTAGCTGCGCTTGAGAGGACAAACACCACCAGTGAATTGAAATCAAATGGAAATCACAGACCCTGACCGTGGGAAACCTCATCACTTCTGCACTTCAGTCCGCCGAACTCTTCCACAGTTGGCGGCACCCATCAAACAAGAAACAGTTCTTGTGCATCTTCTATACCAGTAGAAAGGATTAGAAAGGATTAGAAAGGCCCGTCTTTTACAGTGCCGTTCGCTTTCCAAGATCTGATTCCTGGCCATGTATAAAACAACAAGCTCTGCACGCTCCAACAACTGCAAAGAATGTTGCGATCGGGTCTGAGACACCGACCAGAGGGTAGATACCGCAGATGTCATTCAATGGTGCCTGTTACTGTTGCTCCAGAGGAAGAGACAACTCACAGCTGAAATTTCTTTGCTGTAGTGTTGAGTGTGCAACGGCAACCTGCACATACTGTCTTCCCTTTACTTAATTCCCCCTTGGCTATTCCTGATGAGTTCAAACACATTCCACATCACCTCAAATGACTCAAATGACTCAAATGACTTTATTGTGGACCTTTCAAGGTTTTTCATGATAGTTATAAGACAAAGCCCGATGCGTTTGGACACCCCAGCTTGGCCTCAACATAGTGCACCCTCCGTCACCACCGGGACCAAACTTGAAGGTGGATCAGGAAAATGGCAGCACAACATGTTCAACATGTGTGTGCGTAATCCTTTCTGTAGCCTGGATACAAAATCTAAGCAATCGGTGCTTTGCAAGTGTGTGAAGGAGCCATATAATCTAGATATATCTAGATAAAACATCAAACAATCACCCAGTTGTTTGCATGGCTGTGCTAATATCTGCTACTCAGCCTCAAATTTGCATACTTTTCAACATGAATCAAATGTGCAAGGCTTGTTACAACTCTGTCCTTCCCTGCTGCTTGAACGGCAAAAGATGAAAGCGATGGCGATAAATTGTCACACTTCCAATAGAAAATAGGGTTTCTCCAAAAAATATCCATAAATCCTCCCAATTAATCCTCCTATATCGTGGTTAATTTCATTTATGATTTCATGCATCAGCTCAAGAATGGATGCCAATGGATTTCGCTGTCTTAGGAGTACAAGAGGATGCCCTCAACGGAGGGGTTCCGTGTGACTTGGCCCCCTCATGCCTTGTTGCTTCATTGCTTTTGGGCGAGTCCTGGTCTTTCCATCAAAACATGTTGAAAATTCGAAAATATTTGACGATTGAGGATTCATCGAAGAAACTTGCGATGCCTGTTCGGGCTTTAATCCGATGCGAAACACATGGTAAATTTTGGCCAATTCATGGAACCCTGAGATTTGATAAGATTTGATGGACTGTGAAATTTCATTTCACAACTATTTTGCCCATCCCTGATTTCAACCACACTTCTCCCAGCCATGTCCTCCGTGGTTGAAACTGCTGTTGAAGCGCTCGCAGCTCGGTATGCCGCCTCTGCCTATGGGGTTACAGCTAACATGCAGTGTACCAAGGTGTTTGAACAATCGCTGCCTGATCCGACTTCAAATCGGGAAAATTGCTAATCACCAACCTGAGCATTCTGTGCACTGGACGCTTGGCAAACATGATTCAGCCATAAAATGTCATAAACGTCACAGTAGAAATTGGTTTTAAGGACGAATCCGTTTTTTGGGTGTCTTGAGGTTGAGACTTTTGGATGTCCATGTTCATGCTCCGAATGTCTTTGTTGTTGTTGGCCAAGTCCGCAATCACTGCCCTGTCAATATCAATCGTGTGCATGTCATGTTGGGAGCTGCCAGGGATCCATAGATCAGCTTAGGTTTGCAGAGAAGCTTTGGTATGGCTAGATTCCAAAGAATCTTAAGAAAGCACATTCGGTGACAAAACAAGATGCAGCCCACCAACCCGAATGCAATCACGTAGAACACTTTTGTGAAACAAGTTATTTGATCAGTCTACATTTTCCCCTGTTACCATACCAGTGCACTGTAGGCTGTGGAATGCCGAAGAGGGTGGAGTGCAAAGTGTGGAGTGTGGAGTGTAAAGTGTAGAGTGTGGAGTGTGGAAGGCGAAGTGCGGAGTGTAGAGTGTGGAGTGTAAAGTGTAGAGTGTAAAGTGTAGTGTAAAGTGTGGAATGATGTGGAATGTAAAGTGCAAAGTATTAAGTGTAAAGTGTGGAGTGTGGAGTGTAGAGTGTGGAGTGTAGAGCACACAATGGGACACGTCTAGTGCTGCGCTTGCGACGCAAAATGACGATGGAGGTCTCCAAAGTGCTGCGCCTGCCAGGAACCTGCAACGCGTCTTCTGAGAAAACGCCGCAGAAGTATTGCGCCTGCCACACAAAACGATTTTCCACACGTTACGAAACACGCCTGAATGTCACGAAGTGCCACGCCTGCCACGCGAAACGAAGCAACGCAGCGTTTGAAACCTCCAAAAATGACCCCTTTTGCAGAACTTACCATAGGCACGGCCATACGGCCCTCACGCGGACGGTTGCGAACGGTTGCGAACGGTTGCGGACGGTTGCGGATGGTTGCGGTCGTAAACGCAACGTCGAGCGAACGCACCCTCAACCCCCAGACCCCCAGAGTGAAACGGGAACCCTTGCTACGCATTCGGGAACTATACTGAAATTCTTACCAGTCGGGAATCAAAACATGTATCCCTGTATTTGACAAACAAAATGCAGCCCACGAACCCGAATGCAGTCACGTAGAACACTTTTGTGAAACATATTAATTGAACAGTCTTGTGCATGTTTCCCTGTTACCGTACCAGTGCACTGTAGACTGTGGAATGCAGGACAGGGTGGAGTGTAAAGTGTAGAGTGTGGAGTGTAAAGTGTAGAGTGTAGTGTGTAGGGTGTGGAGTGTAAAGTGTAGAGTGCGGAGTGTAAAGATGTGTAAAGTGTAAAGCGTGGAGTGCAAAGTGTGGAGTGTAAAGTGTGGAGTGTACAGTGTGGAGTATAAAGTGTAAAGTGTAGAGTGTGGAGTGTAAAGTGTAGAGTATAGAGTGTGGAGTGTAGAGTGTAAAGTATGGAGTGTAAAGTGTGGAGTGTAAAGTGTGGAGTGTGAAGTGTGAAGTCTAGAGTGTGCAGTGTGGAGTTTACGGTGTAGAGTGTGGAGTCTAAAGTGTAAAGTGTAGAGTGTGGAGTGTAAAGTGTAGAGTATAGAGTGTGGAGTCTGGAGTGGAAAGTGTGAAGTGTAAAGTGTCGAATGTCAAGTGCAAAGTGTAAAGTGCGGAGTGTAGAGTGTAGAGTGTGGAGTATCAAGTGTGGAGTGTAAAGTGTAGAGTGTGGAGTGTGGAGTGTAAAGGGGAAAGTGTCGAGTGTAAAGTGCAGTGTGGAGTGTGGAGTGCAAAGTCTGGAGTGTAAAGTGTAAAGTGTGGAGTGTAAAGTGTGGAGCGTAAAGTGTGGAGTGTGGAGTGTAAAGTGTGGAGTGTAAAGTGTGGAGTGTAGAGTGTTGAGTCTGAAGTGTACGGTGTGGAGTGTAAAGTGTAAAGTGTGGAGTGTAAAGTGTAAAGTGGGGAGTGTCGTGTGTAGAGTGTGGAGTGCTGTGGAGTGTAAATGTCAAGTGTGATGTCTGGAGTGTAAAGTGTGGAGTGTGGAGTTTTGCGTCTGCCCAGACAACATGACTTTGGACACGTTTGCAGACGCATGAGAATGTCACGAGGTGGCACGCCTGCCACGCAAAACCACGTTACGACTTGCTTTGAACCTTGAAACAGGACAGGTTTTGCAGCTTCCCCCATAGACACAGGTTTTTTGCTGTCGTTTCCTTTTTCATTTTCGGTTTCATTTTCGTTATTTTTTCATTTCCTCTTTCATTTTCGTTTTCTTTTTTTTTTTTTCGTTTTTTTTATTTTAATTTGTCATGTTCATATTTGTGTTTTCATGTCCGTTTTTGTTTTGATTTTTTGTGTGGGTTAAGGTATATGTGCGTTTTCTTTTTTCAGTTTTGCTGTCGTGTTTTTCTTACTTTTCATTTAATTTCTTATTTGATATATATATATATATGTACGTAATATTTTTCGTTTCTGATTTTGCTTCGATTCATTTTCGATGCTGAATGACAAGTACATGATGGCAAAATGCAAAAAAGGAACAAGTCTGAACATGATAATATTAACTGCACATGAGGGAAACACGATAGACAAATGAGAATGACATTTTCACAGGAGAATGAAAAAATGAAAATGATAATTTCACATGATCGGAGAATGATATGAAACAGGAAAAAACATGAAAACCAAAACGAAAAAATGAAAAAAAATCCTTGGTCCGGACTCAGTCTGTGGCTGTAAGATTCCCATTAAACCAGAGACGCGAGACGAGACAGGTGGGAGCACCAAAACGAGCATTTCGTGCGAGACTTCCTCCAATTTTCACACTTTGTAGCTTCAACATCGACGTTTTCTTACGAGTTTTCCTTAGAACCTGAAAATTGGCTACCTGAAAATCGATGTTTTGTGCGAGGCCTCCGTCAATTTTCAGCACATCTCACAAAATGCTACGCCCACCACGCAATTTGCACCTTGTCAGCCCTGACAATGCGATTCGCACAAAACACGCAACATGACACGTCTAAAGTGCTGCGCCTGCCACGCGAAATGACGATGGAAGTCGCCAAAGTGCCACGCCTGCCACGAACAATGCAACTCATCTTCTTGAAATTGACGCAAAAGTATTGCGCCTGCCACACAAAACGACTGCCAACACGTTATGAAACGTGTTGGACTGTCACGAAGTGCTACGCCTGCCACGCGAAACGAGGCTACGCGGCATTGGAAACCTCCAAAAGTGACCACTTTTGTAGAACTCGCCATAGGCACGGCCATACGGGACCGCCCGCAAACGGTTGCGGACGGTTGTGAACGGTCGCGAACGGTTGCGGTCGTAAACGCAACGTTCGGCGAACACACCCTCCACCCCCAGACCCCCAGAGTGAAACGGGAACCCTTGACCCTTGCTACGCATTCGGGAAAAACCATTGTGTTTTTTCATGTTGTTTTCCTTGTGGTATCTGATTTGAAGAGTTTCACAGTTTCACACATTTTCACACCCATGCCTCCCACAGAACATGGTACCGAGCTACCGCGCCTGAGTTCAGCGCTGCCACGTTTGTCTGGGCTGAAACCATAACGGAGCAAGACAGGGCCCATGACCTGGCGCCGTGACGCGGCCTCCATGCTTTCGACGTTTGAGTTCCGTGCTTGATATACTTTAGAACATTTTAGAACATGTTATAACATTTTATAACTACACTTTATCGGACTTTATCTCGGCTATTCCGACTCTGGATGTCTCTGGTTTAGCGGGCTTCTAATGTGTTTGTGATCAAACAGTGAAAATGAAGAGATGCCAATCCAAGGCTAATCTGCCAGGCTCTGCGGCTGCGCACTATTTCCTCCCATAGCGATATAGCCCCTTCGCAGAAACGCCTGAGCCTTCAAATGCACAAGCATGTGGACTCAGGGCCCGTATTAACTCTTGTCCACCAAATCTCCCCCACTAAGTACTAAGACTGAAAGATCTGAAAGTAATCTCTGGGAATGGCTGAGGATCTCTGGAACTTTGCTCTGTGTTGAATGACCCAGTATCGCCATGTGCCGCCTCTGAATCTAAGGCACATTAAGGCACTATGGAGTCCCTGCACTGCTGTCTTTGCTGGTCTTTAGGTGTTCAACTGTCCAAACAGCCCATCCTGGGAAGAATCTGGATACAATCACCCCAAATCTCACATGCGTGACTCCATTCACATGGCATGGCATGCGGCACTACGCTAACAGGATATTAGTAGTAGTGTGAGATAGACCTTCTGTGCTAGCTCACACCAACAATAACCATGGCAAAATGCATTCTGCCCACCAGCAAAGAAACAGTATCACAACATATGACAACATAATTCATCACAATGTCTCTGAACTTCAGGAGGACACGGTTGACAACCAGCTCTCACAAAAACTGGCTCTTTCTTGGCCAGATCATTGAAATTGGAAAAGCATTGGGTTGACATGCGCACAGCGCACAGCGCCCAGCGCTGTGAAAAGGGCCTGTTTAACACACGGAAACCAGGGCAGCTGGTAATCCACGGCATAAAACATGATTTCAATTTGTCAACGGATTGCATGTCTGATTACTTCTACAGTGGTAAAGTGTACAAACATATACAAACATATAGACCAACGAGACTTGCTTGGAGCATATAAGCTCGATTCGGTGGTAGTCTCCTGCATAAGCACGGAAATGTGAGCTACGCATAGAATACACAGCTTCGAACTTCAAACGCTCAAATCGCTGTAGACAATGAGATCGGCTTGCTCAATTGATAACCTTTGGGTTCGCATCTGAGAAATTCTAGTCATGACAACCATGCACTTGCATACACCTGACAAAGCTTGCTTAGATAAGCTTACGTATTCATTCTATGAGGGAGGAGAGAACTCTTCTGCTTTTACTTTTACATCTTTTGCCATGATACCATTGGCAGAAATGTATGTTTTTTGGATCAACTGACAACTTAGTATATTTTACCACATCATACCTATATATACCTAGATGACATTGGACCCCACGAACCAAACACCATCGCATGTCACCGAATCACCACAGAAGCATCCAATACTTCCGTGGTGCTGGTTCTCTTGTCAGCGGATCAAAATCCAAGGGAACTACGCACAAACCAACACCACAAAGACAGAAACAGCTTGGAAACCAAGGATAAACAAGGTCTAGTCGCTACCGCTCCGCCGCAAGAGGCACGTATGCTGCATATTGCTTACAGCCGCTTTGCCGAAAACGGCTTGCAGGGAGAATTCAACGGATTTGGAGAGTGTGATCCGCACGTTGCGCGGCGCAAAGCGCTCATCACTCGGATTGTCTGCTGACCGCCAGGTCCATAGTTTTCGGTCTCCGCTCTTTCTAGGAGCCGCCTCGATGGGACGAGTCTTTCTGGAACTTCTACTGACAGATATTGACAGTTTCCAGCAGCCTGTCGTGCTGCATGCCTCGTCTCAACTGCGCGATTGGAGCTGTTCTCTTCCAAGCTCTTTTCATAGCAATGCCTTGAGCATCTCAACCACAGCAATTTTGCAACAATGATCAACAACTCGCATTCACATGTATTACCCCTGACCATTTGCGTGCTCTCACCCACAAACTGCTCAAGCAAAGTCTAAGCAAGTGGAAGCTTCCCGCGCTTATTGCCAAGCTGACACCAAGGCTGGAAAAATTGGAACCATTCATGCAAAATCTCAGGAAGTGACCAGAGATGACCAGAGTTTTCATCCCTTGTTTTCAGCATCTACACTGTATACTCTTCCACGACTTGATCTTGCATGGAGCATCCCTGGGAAACTCAGGTTAATGAACAAAGCAGTGGGTCATAATATGTCATAATATGGTCATATCATATTATCATTCATGTCACATTCATATCATGTCTGTCTTTCAAATTCTCTCAGTGGACACTTGGATACCCAGTGGATACTCAGTGGATTTCTTGGGTCTGGCCACTCCCTTGCAATTGAAATCTCCATATCCCTGTAGACTCATCGGACTTTGTATCGACTTGGCCTGATTTGGATTGAACAGTTGTTGTGCACTGTCCAAAAAACAGCTTAGTGGTGCTTAGTGTAATGTACGGGTAACTGTTTCATCATACTTGTTCCACTCTTTTTCCAATCTGATCCATGAACACTGTGCAATTTTTGCGACGTGCATGGCTACAAGTCTGTGGCATGTTGAACAAAATTGGTGTCTTGTGAAGTACATTTGACACATGCGAAGAATATGGCCAAAATCCAACCAACACACACACACACGCATACACAGGAAGAGATGTATTCTTCACCACGAACATGTTGATAGCGTGCTTGCCTTCGGCATAGTTTACATCGCAACACAATGTAACTTGCCAGTTGAGACTAAAGTCACTAAAAAATGTGAATCAAAAGGCTTCTGGACGATATCTGCAGTTTACAAAAAGAAAGGCAATCATGAAAGACCTTAAAATGGACGCATGCTACGAGTTTGGCTTGATTACAAAGCACCGATGATCACCACAGGGAGTTGAAGGGCCTCGCTTCAAACCGGCTGCCCTTCAATAGCCCAGCCCGTGCTGCAAGCAAATTTCAAATTTTGACACCAGACATCACAAAACAATACAATCCCAAGTTGATACGATTCCGCAAAGATCCGAAGATATCCGAAGAACCGTGAGTTCTTGACTGCTTGCTGGCTTGGTCCTGGAATCGCGTCCATACGCACAAGGAGCCCACTCCTACTGACTCCTGCTTCACAGCAAACCAAGAAATGGACTCTCGCTTCTTGTTAAAGTCAGTTCAAAGTACTGCTTCTGTCAATCTCGAGGTATTTCAATGGTAACTGGAGGGCGATTTTATCTGGGAAATTTTGTTACGCAGAATCATGAGCCAATAATAAGCCAATAATTTTGTGGCTAGTTCGACGCGTAGTGTCTTCATTTATGTTCTACTCCCATCTGATATCATCGCTGGAATATCTGGAATCCAAAAAAATCTGGAACGTGTTGAACCATGTTGAACCTATTGAATCTATTGAATCTATTGAACCTGTTGCACTGAATCTATTTGCAATATGTTGCAATCTGAATGGACGAGGTCCTGGAAAACTTTTCCAGGCAGCTGTGGACTGTGGACAGTGGACTTTTTAGTTTTTTTTGGTTGCAGTGGAAGTCCAGCGCTGGAAAAACAGGATCCGTCTCCATTGTCACCACAAAAGTAATAGGTAAGCCAAGAAAAAACACTGACCCCAACCGGAGCAGCACCAATACTCCTGAGAACGATGACACGTTGGAAAACTGCCCGAACCTCCACTGCAGTTTTTTTTGGTAGTGCCTGCATACCACGTCATTTGACAATCTCCGCCTCAGCTACTCCTTGACTAAAGCTGCCAAGGTGGAGATCTCTCAGCGAGAAAAATACCATGGTGACTCTGTTCTCTGAGAGATCTCCTGGGCCAGGCCTTGAGAAAGAGGACACGGACGGACACGGATGAATCTATCTATCTACAAGTGAAAGCAAAGGCTCCCAGAAAGCCTCGTTTGCTGCTCCAATTTCCCGCTGCTACCCGGATATCCCGGATGAATGGTGCAAGTAGCCTCTTGTAAATGAGCATGGTGGTCGAGCCTTTTCATGTTTACAGAAGTTCAAGCGGTGTGAGAATCCATTGGACAACCAGAGTCAACAAACTGAGGCTTTGCTCGTGACAGACTGTAGAACCTTCAGCCACAGTTGCCATCATTGTTCTTCCCCTTGCAAGAAAGAACAGTACCTTGGATCTGCCGAGAAAACCGCATGACCTCTTCCAAATGTGACCGGTCAAACCAGCGGCAGCATGCGGCAGCCAAGGCCATGGCGCTCACTGTGAGCCCACAGTGCAAAGGCCTGAGTCCTTGGTATCGCTTCCAATGTGTGCCAAAGCCCTGGATAGCCAATAGCAGCTTCCAAAGCCTCACATCGTGCCCACTTTTGTGTCTCGGGCCCGGGCTGAATAGAAGCTATCAATGTGCTCAAAGCCTCCAGAGCAGATCCGAGAAGCTTGCTCCATGAGCCCATGGATTCGGAGCAGTTGAAGCAAAGCTGTCACATATGCGTTGATCGTCTCTGATCGTCTCTGCTTAGCAATTTCAAATAGGTGCAAATGTTGTACTAAAGACTTTCAATCCATCAACCCATTCATGATCAACATCACCCCAAGCATCCTGAAGCATCCCCGGGATAGGAAACACCTTTTGGCCACGAAGAGTAGCCTTTCAATTTCACATTGTCACCTCAGTGGTTCCCTCTCAGCAAACCAGAACCCATGAACTTTTCAGATCTCTTCTGTGTCAACTTACAGCATTCAAATGCCAAAACTCAGTGCCATGCCCAGATAGGTCTGGTCCATCCACTGGGAAGGTCGAACAAATGGATGCTCAAAACTGTGCTGAATCTGTGAAGTACGCAGGAAGTAATCAAATCAAAGGCTTTGTATCCAAAGGTTGGACAAACCAACTCTGGTTGAATATATATAGTATATTTCCTTTGTTTCCTCGTTTCATAAATCCTGGTGCACCACCACATACAACTGAAAATTCCGTCTCACCTCTTGCCGCAGGACACCTCAATCTACCTAACTCTCACCTATCCTCACCAAAATTTACACAACAGGTAGTCATAATATGTCATAAATAAATAGCATTAAATACTATAGGCACTTTGGATTCTGATCTTTTTCTATGCCCGCCTGGTTCGATGCCAATTTGCTTGTGTAGTCACCTGGGTACTGATGCTCCAGGTTCATATCGACGACGAAAAAACAGTGCTTCCCTATGGCCCCTTGTGCCATTCAAGGCAACCACCAGAAGCCGAACAAACATCGAAGTCATCAAACATCAAAAGAAAGAACATCTTTTGAACTAATTGTATCATATTGTATCTAATTGTAAGATATTCACAGCACCTTCAATTGTCCCAAACTAAAAACTGACCCACCTGAATTCGGCTGCAATTGGCTATCACTCAGGCGGCCACCGAAACGAGAGTCTCCATCCCTGGAGAAATTGCGCTCGTTTAAGCGCTGGTATGGTATTGGTAGGCAGAAAATTCAGGTTCCTCATACTCCTTTAACATCCTTTAACTATGTGGGCCAAACTGGAGAATGAATGACATTAATGGCTGGCTTCAACTTAGAAAAAATCCCAGAGGGGCAAGGTTTGCAGATATTTACAGTGTCTTCACTTTTCTGTTCCCTACGAGCACATTGCATCTGCGAGACATGTGAATCCTTCACTGATTCAGATTCGCCGGCACCAGCGTCTTGGTATTCTCATACGTTCTGGTCCAGCATCCCCCGACCGATTTCTGAATCCAAGGCAAAATGATGAAGCGGATTAAGATCCTTTGATCTCCCTGCCTTGCTTGCCAGAATTGCTCCACCGTGGTTGTAGACATATTGGCCTCCTGACCAAAAATTCGAGAAACTCGGATCCGGAGATTTGCAGGTTCAGTCTTAGCTGAAAACGTATGAAAAGAACCTGTCGGTTCAAAGAAACATCCAGGTAGATCACTGCCCTCATGAAGTTCACTAGCTCGAGCTTCAGACCGACGTGATACTGTTGATTGTTTGCATATTTTGCATTTTTGTTTGCTCCTCAAAATAGTGAGAAATTCTCAATGCACTCTCATGAAGTGTTTTGTTTGCCATTGCATCAATTGTATCAAGGAGGTCAATGTCCCCTCAATTGCTCGCTCAATCTACTTCAGTCACCCGAGTTATCCGACAAGTTGATGATTCTTGCTCCCCAAAAACAGGTCCGAACAAACACGAAAACATTTGAATTGCTTCCGACACGCCTCAGTCGTCTCCCCAAGTAGCGGACTTAGGCCAGATGCAACCTCATGACATGTTCACGACCCACATGCAAAATGCGGCAGGGGAATGTCACAATATTTCACGAAGGCCATGAGCACGATTGTGCTATCCTTTGACACTTCTATGCACTCTTCATTCCTCTAACCTTGGCAAGACTACGTACCCTCTGGTGAACTAACAGTTCGCAATGGAAAATGGCTATTTATAGTGGATTTTCCCATTAAGAATGGTGGATCTTTCCATTGCTATGTTAGTTCACCAGAGGGTAGATCTTCCCACACTTTGATCACGAGCCGCTTAGGTCTGAGGTCTCATGCTGGGGGTATCATCATCGGAGCCATTGGAGCGCTTTTAGCCTTGCGGCAAATGGCATCAGCGCCGAAGTCCGTCTTGTCTGACAAGCACTAAACACATTGAAGAGAAAACCTGTAGGGAAAATGATATAGGGTAAGAAGTTGTGACCCATTATTTCCACCAGAACCTTTCAGTGTGTCATTTGCGTTGTCCTTTTTTCACCCCCTCCTGGTATAGCCCTGCACCAAGGCTCCCAACCAGCGAGCTCTCCCGAAGCTCTAGGGAGTTGTGCCTGGAGTATGACATGCCGCATCTGAGATCCTTGTGGTGAGACTCTGAGACCTAGCAAAAGGCGCTATGGCAGCTATGGGCTACCATTTTTCGAGCCTTGTTTTAAACGTCTAATGTGGTCACCCAATAATACGCTACCAGCAAATTCACCAAAAATAGGTCCTTCGTGGCTCTACAATGTGCTCTTGGATGCTGATGACTGACATCGATGGCACGCTGAAAACATATGAAACACTTTGTACCACTTCTGACCCTGTCTGCAATGCCCGCCTGCTGTGCATCAGCCTCAGTTGTTCAAACACTGTATTGAAAAGGACACCTGTCATCCAACTTTGGAGAGCCACACAACCTTCCGGGCCAGAAAGAATCAGATACTATTCAGTTTATTCAATCATACTGGATATCAGAACACATCAAATATTAAATCATACTGCTATGTAGAATCTCTTTGGGTATCTGAAAATAGTCTGAAAATGGGGGTACCCCCCCAAATGGCTATTTTGATAGGGAAACATGATGAGAACCAATTCTTTTTCGCTTCAAATTTGTACCAGGCAGCGGCGGGACCCAGTCTGCGCGATCAGTGTCCTGGCGGTGAAGGGATTCCATGGTGATTATCCCAACCCCAGCCAACCACTATAGTTATCTATAGTTGACAAAGTTGACACCAAATGGAAAAAAAACATGGGAAACTTTACAGCATCTTCAAGGCATTTGACTGGCTCTGAGAGAAGTCGTCTCTGCTTGATTTCTTTTTTCGTACATTCCTGTGATAGATCCAAGTCCAATGAAATGGAATACCAAATCAGGTCCAACATCTCGTGGCACTGACATGCTCTTCTGTCAGTGATTCAGCCTCTGCCATGGCTGCGAGGTTGCTACCACTCAACGAGCGTAAAGAATGCAGATTGATTTGAACCTCGGAGAAATGAAATTCGCCAGTCCAACTGGATATACATGAATGCACACAGTTAACATAATTGTAAGATGTTAACGAAACGGTAAACACGGCAATGCGCCTGCGCACAGACACAGACACAGACACAGACACATTTTTTTCCTTTGCACCATCAAATTCTTTGCAGAGGTTTTCAAATTTCTACCTCCACTCAGCAATGAAATCTGCCAGGGCGTTCTCACAGCCCAACCTTTCAATGTTGGCAGGCAAAGCTTTTAACATCACAGCAACTTCTTGATCCACTTCATCCTGCAAAGAAGACCCTCCACTCGGACCGCGTGTGGTCACTGGGCGGGTGAGTGCTTCCAAAACATTCAAAAAATCCGGGAAAATTGGTAAATGAATCATGGATGGAAAAGCAATCACTGCCTTCAGCAGGCTATCTTGCGTCAACGGAAAGGAAGCCAATTGAGCGTGTAACTCTTTGAGAGCTGGACACTCTAGAGCCTCCAATGGATTTCTGATCGGCGGCAGTTCCTCTTTGGACTCCGCCATGTCATCCTCCAATGGATCTTGGGTAGCTGGCGGCATTTCCGGCATTTCCTTCATCGGCTCAATCGGCTCCGCCATGTCAGGGTCATTGGCAAGGAGGTAAGATAGCACCTGCTAGACACACTCCAGTGACTGAAAAAAAGCCAACAAAAGGAGCTCAAAGTGGCCAAAAGGATAATGTGATATGATATGATATCGATCTGGATAAATAACTTAATGTCATAATTATTATATATGATTATGTCATACATATATATATTATATTATATTATATTATATTATATTATATTATATATATTATATTATATTATATTATATCATATTATATTATATTATATTATATTATATTATATTATATATTGATATACATCTATAATCATCTATATATTATATCCAATATTTGATAATATTTGCCAATATTTGCCAAGCTTGCCATGATATTGCCTTGAAATGGCTTCAAACTGTTGAAACAAAACCACGGAGCAGGTGCCTCAGTCAACAATGCCAGAGGATTTGTGCAGCTGTCCATGAACTTGTCGCTTTGGAGGACATCTTGAAGCCCTTGGATGCAAAGTTGAGATAGAACTGCATCTGGTGAAGAGCAGATGCCAAATACAGCCAGAGCAAAATCTTGAAAACTCTTGCTCCGCGCCCATGGCATTTCCTTTGCGTCCTGTCTCTGCGATATCTTCTGCATCGTCTCTTCCAAAGCTGCCGACCATGTCAACTCCTCCCACATTTTTTCGACTGTAATCTGTATATCACCTGCGCTCCGCAACAGCTCACGCCCTTGAAGCTCTTGGCCATGATGAAACAAGCGGACTTGGCGTTCTGAAATGACCGATCTTCCTTCGTTTGAGTTGTATACGGCCGTTGCGATTGCCTTGATCCCATTGGCATCCAGCCAGGTGGACCAAGAAGCATCGGCAGTGGGCCTCTTCTGCAATTTCTTTTGCAAATCTCTTGCCAAGCGAACACGATTGAACACGCTGATAGGCACAAGTGCACCGTTTGTCAGCTGTACAGTTTTGGCAAACATCCAAGCACAGGCGCTAGTTGGGCCATTCTTGCCGCTCTTGCATTTCTTGACATACATGTTGAGCGCTGCGACCAAACCACTTCGTTGTTTGTCAGCTAAAGGTGCCGATGTACTGATCACAATCCACAGGCTACCTGAGAGGATGCTGAAGGCGGCGTCATTCCCGATGCCCATGTCGTTCAGCATATCATACAGTGCATCCAGAACTGCTGCACGTTCCCTCTCCGAGAAGTCTGCGGCGTCGGCGTCAGGGATACGCAAATGAGTTTGGTGAACCTCCGGGTCATGTGAACACCCATCGACATCCGATGATTGCTCGCTCGACTCCTCTACTTCACCTGGGAACAAAACCGAGATGCTGGACACAAAGAGACCAAGGAATTTTTTGACACATTTGACACGTGCACACATTGCTGGACTGTGGAGATCTCGCAGTCCGCCGCTTGAGACTTTCCTCAAGGCTGAGTAGAAAGCCTCTCTCGGTGTTGAAGGTATAAGTTGCCAGTTCTGGATGTCTCTATCACATGCAGCAAGATATTCGGAAAGCTGAGGTTCTCTCATCCATATTTCCAATGTCGCATTCATTTCAGATAGGGGCCATTGGCACAGGACACTCAATTGAATCTGGAGATTTGTAACCTGTTTTCCCATGCCGGCAATCAACCTTGCCATTTCTGCGAGCTCGCCACGCACATTCTCGTATGACCGCATTGGGTCTGCAGCTTTCATTTCTTGCTGTATTGCTTCGAATATGTGATTAGATAGCAGAAATGCGTCCTTGAAGTGGCGAAGCTCAGCCTCTCCCATAATCGGATTCTGACTGTCAGTTTTGCCACTATGCAACACGATCGTGTGATTCCTGAGTTTGAAGTGGGCAAGCATGGAAGCAAGTGGAAACAAGTGGGAACAAGTGCATTGTTTCGGGCGTTTGTCCTGATGCGTCTTAATCAGACACTCGGATGTCAACTGCACATCACAAAATGTCGTGGCTGGCTGCAAAGTAAGGATTCAAAAAGTGGCAGTGGGAGAAATTGAATGATATCACACGCTGCAAGTGTCATGTTACAATGTTACAAGGAACCCAAGCAACACGATGCAACACAAGAACTATGGAGCTAGTTGTGGAATCCTGGCGCCAAGACTCGATTCGACCTTCTTCGTATACGGTTGAATGCGGTCTATAGACAAATAACGCACATCAGTGCTTACACTCTGCAGCATTGACTCAAAGTCTGCAGGCTTCTTTCGCAAGTAGTATGCCAAGGCAAATCCTAGGAGAACAGAATCAACAACGCAGGAGCCCGGCTGACAGGCATGCAGCTCAATAATGGTGTCACCAGCAAGATCTTTGTAGTCTGGTGGAGATGTATCTCGATCTTGCTGTAGGCCATCCGGGTCTGCTATTCGGCAACAAGAGAAAACAAAACCAAAATCCAAGCTATTACGGCGTGTTGTTCCATCATTTTGTCTCAACTGTTTTACATGTTCGAAAACTTCTTTCTGCAAGGCAATCGGTGCCTCTGCTGTTTTAATCCAAGTGAAACCTGATTCGAAATAGCCATGGCCAGCATAGAAAACCACCAGCAGTGAGTTGTCCCTCAAGTCTCGGACGGCATCACTGAGCTTTGATCTGATGTTCTCAGCAGTGGCTTCCTGACCAATCAGCTCATAGACCTTGTCAAAGAGTCCGGATTCTTTGGCGGCTGCGGCCACTTCCTTGGCCTCCTGCAGCACATCATCCAGATTCTGTTGCAAGCCAATGACTACACATATGCGGATTCGGCTCATGATGCAAGATCTGAGCCAGTAAAGGACACCCTGCGATAGAAACGCTCAAAAATCCATGGTGGTCTGTTTGCATGTTCACTACAGTCACTACATGCTGCTGTTGCCAACGTCGACACTTCAAGATCTGTTGCATCCGAAGTTTGGGCACTGCCTCTTTACATCTTTTGAAATCTTCCATTACCTACCCCGACTGCAGAGGTACCTAGACCTGAGCTACTGCGAGGCCACTTAGCACCCCACCGGCTCATTGGCTGAAGGCATACGAAGGGCCTCACAGGTCTGGCCGGTCTTTATTCTAAGCAGCTGAAGGTGGTCAAGACCAAGACTGCTATTCATACAATGTCATATCGAAATATCACAGTGGATTAGTGACTATTAGTGCAATTATCTTCCTCAATGATTAGTGTAGTTGAATTATCTTCCTCAAGATTTATCGTTTGATATACCATTTCTGTCGAAGCTTTTCCAAAACCAGTTTTGACAACAGCCCTTGCACCGGGCCTCCACCGGCTCCTGCACCCAGCCAAATCAAGCAAAATGAAAGACTTGACACGACCTAGGCATACTGATGCTATCCGATGCTGTCAATATACTAATTATGTATATCTAATTATATCTAATTATACTCCCATTATGGTTGGTCAATGTTGGTGAAACCCAGGTATAAGGATAGTTAGCCATGCGAATGATGTGAGGCACGTATCTCCCAGTCCTCTGTGTCTTGCCCCATCGTGCATAGGCGAGCGGCAGCCGAAGAAACCTTGATCCCACATGGTGGTTGTCAACCCCAACATATCTCAACAGCTAAAGCAGTTCCGCCCTAGTGGACTCAAATGTTATCACAATTTGGTCACAAACAACATCTTACTCCATCATGGCGTCAAGACCCAAAGGATGAAGTGGGCCGTTTTCCGGGTCCTGACCTTTGGCATGCGCGGAGGAGTTGTGTTGCGGACCTGCAAGATTGCAAGGCGTTGCAAGCGCAGGTGGGGTGACAAGTCAGCAGCAATGCACTGCAAACAAAATGGGTAGTGAATGTCCAAAGGCTCAAAGCGACTGGCTGGTGTTTTTTATTGGACGTCGAATAATTTTGTCACGATCGGACATTGCTTTGACATACTAAGCCAAGAAGAATCAGGAAGACTCATTTTAAGCAGGTCTTCAGACAGTTGCAATTCTTGTAGTGGCCCTCTTCAATGAAAGTTCCAAGGCTGCGACCCCCAGGAGTCCTGTGGCGTTGAGGAAACAAATGGAGACAACGGCTGTTTCGCAGCGAAGTGTATCAGCGTTTCAGAAAGCAAGATCTATATCTGGTGTCCAAAAATAAGAACACATCCAAAAGTGTGCCATCAATGCAAGAGACTTCTTGAAAAATGTCAACTTTAAGGACCCCCGTTGGTTTTTCTTGGTCGCAGCTTCCAAAAATAAGTGGCCTAGTTGGCGATAGCCATCAGATGCTACCGATGCCACATCCTGACAACTGACTGGGAGTGAAGCTGTTGATCCTTACAATTTGACCTTCAAGAACTTGCAAACTTCTCCACAACCGCAGAGCATCTCTGCATCTCAGGAACATGTGTTTTTCCCTTTTTTTTTGTTTGAGACATTGATGCTGTCGTCAGTAACCGTTCTGCCCCTAATTTCAACTCTTGCCGCGAAGGTGTTTCAGTGAAAGATATCCTTACGAATGAAGACCCTGTCACTGATGTGATACTCTTTTTCTCCACGATCGCGGAAGCCCCCAGGGCAGGCTTGAGAGAGTATATTCTGAGCAAAAACAGATCTCGCCAATGAGACACAGATGACCTTTGGCTGCTGGTCTCATTGGCCAACTCATATGCTAAATCCACTTCCCAATAAACATACGGCCAACTACGAGCAGTGAGCCTGGCATGTGCGATCTATGCCATGTCCATCCGCCTGGTGTGCCTAGTGGCTTTTTCGCAAGCACCCAATGCTCCAGTGTAGCCTTAGTTGGCTTATCTCTTTGCATTTGTACTATATACAAATCTATATAGCCCTTCAATCAACTTGGAGTTGACATGCACTGGTTTTGTCTGTTTTACTCAATGGTTTAACATCTTGTACTCCAAGATAGGCCAAGTGAGAACACTCCTAATGACTCACCAAATCATGCAAGACTCCGCTTGAGAAAATGTTTGAAGGGCAGCCGCCCCAAGAGCTATGTCGAGTGTCTGCCGAGATTCTTACATCATTCGGTATGACCTTCATCTGTTCCATGTTTCCTTGGAGGTCCATTGCTCATAAGCAGTAGTAGCAAACAGCAATACGGATCCATGCAGCATCTTGGGTTTCTCTGAAAAAAACATCAGGTCGATAATCATGTTCTGCATTGAAATGGCCACAAATGTCGTATCCCCCATCTTTGGACTAATCCATCTTCATCCATCTTCACATTGTTGGCCATGTCATTCCTGGATACCTCTGTTGTATCCCATTGTATCACGATGAAATATGGGGATGGGTCAAAACCCTGGTACCTAGTGAACCCCAAAATAGCTGGTAAATGGATGTTCATCCCATTAAAAATGGTATCTATAGGTATTGACCCATACCCATATGATTAAACTTGATAACTGTAAATGACAATTTTGGGACACTCCTTGGCCCCGAAAATCCCAGATTCTCAGCATCTTCATCGCCTTTTTCCAGCGACCAGCCTTCTCTAAAGCACTGATGGCACTGCCTCTGGAAACCCAGGCGCACAGGCGGATGCTCCCAACACCAGAGAAATTTGGGCACATAATATGGTAAAATACGGTACAATACGGTAAAATCAAGAATTGTCCCTCACTTCTGATACTTGTAGCAATAATGTGCAAGAACTTTACCTACGACAGACTGGAGCAACTCCGCAACCTCGATTCCGTTTCAAGATATTTTCTCTGTGCATGTGGCAAACGTTTCCCATTGACATTCAGTGATGCAATTGCTGTCACGCCTTCAAGAGATGTGTGTAAGCATTTAGTCGTGTATCCATTCTGACTTTACACAGCGAAGCAACATTTTATGTACAACATTGTCCAGTCAACGCGGAGCACACCGCATAATGACCACAAATGGGTTCGTCTCTCACAGGTAAAATGATACAACATTGGATTTGGGGGTACCATGGGGTACCCCATTTCTGGAAGAAAGGTTGATATGGCAGTGTATCAAAATAGCTGGTAAATGGATGTTCATCCCACTAAAAATGGTATTAATAGGTATTGATCCATACCCATATTAGACTCAGAGTAAAATCATGAGTCTATCCACTTGACAATGTGCAGCACTCCTCTCTGCAAACAAGGAGCTGTAAGTAATGACATTGGGTGTGACACTCGCACATCTCATGGCGTCGAGAACGGCACCTACAGGTTGTGGCAAAATGAAGATTTTTTTTTGCACTCAGCAACTTTGGACATAAAATATCCATCTTTAACAACCATGGACTCATAGATGATGCTTTGTGCACGCGGCTGGTATCAGCACTGCTTCAAAACTTCAGCACAGGTAGGATCAAGTAGGAACCGCTTACACTGTTGTAGAATCTCCCCACACAGAAATGTAGGCAAAAAAACAAGCTGAATGCCTGCAATGCTGAAGTTTCAAGGCTCTACGAAAAGATACGAAAAGCACCAAAGACACCGAGGTAGGAAGCTCTGAAGGCACCCACTTTTCATTGTGGAAGCTCAGTAAGATTGGATAAGATCGGAATGACCAGTGGCCATTGATTCAGCCGGAAACAGCTTTGGCCAAATTTCAGTCAAAGGCACTAGCATGCCGCCACTTTCCAGAGTTCTCGCACGCACTGATGACGCCTCAGCAAAGCATCTCTGCATACACAGGTCATCCCCACTGCATCCGTGAGTCCTTGGGTCTGTCGATCAAGTTTCATGAAAATGGTTTGCCACAACCTATTGAAAATGGTGCAAAGAGTTGGAAGAATCTAGCTGGAGGCGCTATTGATTGACGAGAAACTTCTCACAATACACAGAGTTTGTGCTTCAAGGTGATGCTGGGTGTACTGTATGTGGTGGGTGGATGTTCAAATTTGGCCCAAGAACTTGTGGAGGACACCAGCTGAAGTGGTGCAAAACGTGTTGCACGTTGCCATAAGGCGGCCTGACTCGTCTCACAAACGAGGGGGGATCAGGTTCCATCCACAGATCCATCTCCAACAAGGACAGTGATTTTACGGCTACCAAAAGCTGCAGTATGAAGCCGGAGTCAATGCAGTGTCTCCACAAAGCCAGATTCCTGTCGGATGGGAAATATCCATAATTTTCTTTTCAGTGCCCTTGCCTGTGAAAAATGGCAAAGCAATCATCAAATGCACCAGCTGGACTGTTTGGACTTGTCCTGCATGTTATATCAATATCGATATATATATATATATTAATATGTAATTATATATATATATTAATATGTAATTATATATATATATATGTAATAATATTATATATATATAATTATACGTGTGTATATATATATTTATTTATTTATTTATTATCATGTTCATGTGGTAAACCCAAGAACTTTCCGGTGAAGCTGGGGAGGCCAGTGATCACCCTTCACAACCCCCACTTGCACCTGGCTAAGCGCTGCAGTGACTGCCCCAGTGCTCTGAATGCTTGGCCGCGATCCTGTAGTGTTCAGTGCTGTGAAGAGATGTGCCGCTTGGACCCAACGGGAAGATCTGCCACAGCTGTGGATCAGACTGTTACAACCTCAGCGAAACGACGAAATGACGAGATGATATCGGATGATCACTAGTTTCCGATATTTTCCAGACTTCCAAGGGGGTGGTTCAAAATCCCCAAAACCAGGCAAGAAAGAAACAGCCAAACTGCCAGTCGCAGGAGATAGCCAAACCTATCAATTGGTCTTAATTGCCATGTAGAGATACGAGTAGCCAGTTTGATACCCTGATGGGTCAGCATTGGATAGCATTGGGAGTTGAAACATCCTCAAACTCAAGTGAGCTGCCACTCGAAGTCACACCATGTCCCACTAGCACATTGCAAGGAGACGACAGCTACACAAGTTGGCGAAATATGTTCTTGGATATCTATTAGATTCTTTTAGGAAAAAGAAAAAACATGAAAAAACAATGTTGATGAGATCTTGATACATAAGTTATCATAAGTTGGGATATGTCTCCAAGCGACAGACTTGCAGGATACACTACTTCTTGTTCAAAGCTCCATGAGCTTACTGAGTTAACTTTCTGCATTCTAGTCACGCCATTCTAACACGGATCACCATCTTTTATGGAATAATGATACCACTGCGTTGTTTTTGCACATGGATTTGCCACATTCAAAGCCAGGCAACCAATGATGCTTGGGTATTGTAAGAGTTCCATAGCTCTCAGCCACAGTGACACAGTTTCGCAGGAGGCTATCATGCTGCCAGAAATTACCACGTTCGACTCAAGATTCACCCATCCCATCCTCTGCAAGCTGTGCAAAGCTAGAAGCCACGAGTCCTGACAGAATTGAAACGGGCTTTCCACTGTTCGCCCTGTCAATGCAAACCTGTGTCATGCACCCAGAAGACAAAAAAGTGCGCGTGGTAAAAAAAAACATCTACGCATGGTTAAGGGGCACTCTCCCCAGAAGACCGAACTAGGATCCAGCATCCAAAACAGACACACTGCTGACACAGACATACACAGACTATGAAGAGACTCCTTGCAGAGTTTGAGGAGAGTTCCGTAGGTCACAGAGCTTGTCTGCAGTGAGGAGCAATGGCAGGTGTCGAGCGTTGTGAGGGCTGTCTGCCATTGCGCACCCTTCTGCAGAGAGTAAAGCACGCTGTTTTGGCTCACAATGTCAGGAACCTGGCATAAAGATGCAGAAAGTGCAACTGACCATTTGGGTATGTCTGAAAATGGGGTATACCCCCCAATTATAGCCATTTAGTAGGGATAATGATCATTAACCATTGGGTGTAGGGGTACACTATTTTCAGACAAACCCATTTCTAGATTCTACATGTTTTCCTTTCATATCGGCAAAGCCTGCAATTCACGAGATGCAATTGTCAGGTCACAGGAAATATCGAGTGTCACAACCGTCGTGCATCTGTCCCTTAACACCGAGAAGCCATAGCTGCACTTTGCATCTCATCCAATACGTTCAGCGCTTGGCACCAACTTGCCGCACGTAAGCTCGTATTGCAGCCAACAAGATCCTCACCATCTGCTTTCTACACATTACACATGCTGAGCTGCCTCTCAATAGGAAAAGAAAACACTTATGGGGACGATTGAATGACATTCATGTCTCCAAGCATGCACAGACTCATTGGAGAGCTTGAATCAAGCCGAAAACCATGCGAAAGCGCATTTGATGTGGAATAGGATTTAGTACAGCATTGAACACGTCTTGTCTGTCACATCCAGGCAAAAGCTTACTTATCACGGAAGGTTTTCCATGAGATAGATAAGATGGACTCTGAACTCGAAAATTCAGGGCTTGCAGAACCGCGACTGAAAACGAATTGCAAAGCAGCACGTCGGCATCGATACGTCCGATACGTTGCTGTCAAAGCGTCTGGGTGGTCCACGAGCTGCAAGAACTGCAGAGCTTGCCTCCAACTATCCTGAGCCAGGCCAAGTTGGCCAAGGCAAGTGACAAGTGATGTTCCTGAAATTTCCTGATGACAGGGGAAATTGATGGAAATTGCTATCCAATTACTATTGGGATTTGTTGTGGTGGATCACAGCTGCCACATGCACATCTCGCAGACTCTCGCCTTGCCAAGAATCTCGTGCCCAGGCGCGGATGGTACTGTTGTAAGTGACGATGCTCGGCAAGAGATAGCTGGATTTCAGAAGGTCGAAAAGAAGCAAAGCACACGGCCAGCAACTTGCTTCATCACATGCATAGATCGAAATGTTGAAGCTGGCCTGCGGCATTCTAGACCAGCAAAACCCAAGAGGAGATCTTCAAAACCTGGCTCTCGAAGTGAACTGCTTGTCTACTGAGTCTACAAAGAGACAACCAGTCCCAACACATCTGAATAAGACAAGACCCTTACAGTTAGTAATAGAAGAACTTGTGTGTTTTGAAAGAGAATACCAGATCTCTTTGAAACATGTTGAAAACCTGTACCAACTACTAGCTGCGCCTTGTCAGGCCGGACCTTCTGGCTTGGCAAGCTTTGAAGCAGGGATATTGCCAAATCCCAAAGCTTGGTCTTCGAATATTCTTGGAGCACTCCATTGTAGTGAAGTCGCCTGGCCCGAGTCCTGGGCTGGTGCCGGTGATATGGCAGTGTGTCAAAATCTGTACCCCTGGTGAACATCAAAATAGCTGGTAAATGGATGTTCATCCCCCTAAAAATGGTATTAATAGGTATTGATCCATACCCATATCCGGAGGCTCATGGCGGCTCGAAATCGCTCGACTTCCAAGGTATGGAGGTTTCCAATCTCATAGGGGTACCCATGGGTACCATCTAAAATCGGCTCATGTTAGTATTGAAACATATTGAAACCATTTGAAACCTATGGGTTTTGGGGATCCCCCATTTTAAGAAGACCCCGATATGGTGACTGTGGCATGGCTAAATCTTGCCCAGATTCTCGGAGGGCATTGCAGAAGCCGCACAACGTGCACATGACCACTAGACCTCTCGCCATGGATGGTGAGGGCAGGACGGTTTGCATTAGTGATGTGCTTAATGACCTCGAATGTAGCAACGGGGGCTACATGACATGCCTTGCTACAAGCAACCGTGTGGGACAGAAGCTACAGCTTTTTCACTTTGAAAAACATTTGGCAATTCAAGGGGCAAAGCCGCTGGATCTTTCTCATAAAACAAAATTATTTACCTGTTTCAAACGTGCTTCAAATGGACAAAGGAAACGCACATTCTGCTAGTCACACGAGCACAGATCAAATTCAATAAGAGAATTGCAGTTCTATCTCCAGCGAACTTCAGCACGCCTGCAAAAGAAATTGCTCTTGGTACTGGAAAGGAAATGCTGGTCAGGGAGTGCCATTGCAACATCTTGGGCAATATAAGTAAATTCACTGCTGCCCTGGTATAATATGCCCGCCTACACGTTGCAGTAGGCCAGCACACTTTCGCAAACTGCAAAAACACGCCGTGTATCAAAAAGGTACTGAATGCATATCAATATCTTCTCGGCAGCCTTGGCACTTGTACATGTCTACCCCTCAGAGTTTCGCTTGAACCATGGAGAAAGCTGCGAATGGGCGGCACAACATATTGTATCTTTTGCCTCCCAGGGCTTATCTCTTCCTCCGCGGATGAAGATATCATAGGAAAGCGCAAGTTTTTCAAACGTCCAGTCGCGGCCATGCCTCCTGCGCCATTGACTCCCAACGACCTTCCAAACATGGCAGAATTTGGCAGATTGAGATTCCTCCAACTAAACCATACTAAACCGCTGTCAAAGCAGCACCTGCCAACATTCGCGACCAATCTATGCTAAGCTCACAACTGAAGTCGGTACGGTATGCACTCTCCTTTGCGGTCCCGAGATGTCCCGATGCTATCTGGATGTCAAAGGCTTATGTTGCCCGGATATCTTTGATATATCTTTGTATGCGTTTGTGAGAAAATGGGCGACCCATCAAATCCCATAGAATTGTCATCATGTGCTCAATGACTGGTAATTGTATGTAATTGTCTACCATGTTGGAGTAACCAGTAACCAGCATTCTTGGACAAAATCATATCGCAAATCCTACACCTGGCTGCCTCTCCTGTCCCATCATTGGCGGCTGGCGATGCAAGGCCTAGGTCATTTAGCATGCATCTAAACTCTCTGTAATTACACAATATCTGCACTTCACATGTGATTTTGCAAAGATCAACAGCGGCAATGTTCTCAAGTTCTGGAAGGGAGTTCCCCGTCCCTTCTTCGGTTCAGTTGGCAAAGATTCACCTAAACTAGGATGCGAGCCGTTTGCATGTGCATCCCTGGTGCAGGTGGGGCAGGATTTCCTGAGGACAGGATGGTCAGGATGGTAGAAATTCACCAGGATGAGGAGCTTGGAATCTGTCTAGCCAAACTAAACTTATTTCAAGGGGTATTTCAAATGCTTCAAGAGATTTCAAGAGTCAAGACCTAATCCATGCCTAATCCATGTGTATCATTGTGTATCGACTTATGTAGTCTTATGTAGTGGATGCTGTGATGCTGGCCAAATCTCACCCTCACTTCCCCCAGCGCAGTCTGAGATGCTGGGTGCCACCGGGACAACCTGGCCGACTGGCTGGATCAGTGCTCCAACAGTGAGCCTCAGAGCCGCACCAAGTCCAAGATCTTGACATCTAATGCGGCAGAAAATGCACCCTCAAAATTTGACGCAAAACGGATAAAACACGAGGAAAAACATGGAAACACATGGAAACATCATGGACATATCATATCCGGAAGCCCAATTTTTGTGGGTGGCAAAGAAGGTCCAGACCTGCGCCTGACAGTGAGCTGAGCCAGGTCTGCAAAGGTGGGGATTTTACTTCAACGATGTTCAACGCTTCCAAGATCCCTGCTGTGGGCCGGTTCGTTTTTCTTTCTCGCGTTCAGCTCCAGGTGCTCCATATACAACAGCTTGCCCGAATGGCATCGGACGGAGCTCCTGCCCATCTCTCAACTTGAAGCAACATGATGACCACTGGTCCATAGAGACGAAAGAGTCTAAAGATGATTACACCTGGGAACCTCAACGTCCGACCAACAAGAAAAATTAAATGATGAATTAGTTTTCCTGGGCGAATGTCAGCATGGTGATTGCCGAGAACCAGTGCGTGTGCCAAAGTTCAGAACCAATGAACTGACGCAAGTGACGCAAGTGACGCAAGTGACGCAAGTGACGCAAGTGGATGGTACAGTCTCCCCCATCAACTTCTCGTTTCGTTTCAGTCCTCTTGGCTGTGTGCATATCGGCATTCAGGATTGTCACAGAGACCGGTAGCGATGAGAGCTTTGCATAGCTTAGTGCACGCCTTGATGTGGCAGTGACGCAGCAACCCTTTCCAACATTGCTAGAGGATTAAATCATGAAAGTTGAAATTTGATTGGTGCACTGAAGTTGACATCATCAAAATCAGCACGCAGCTTCTTGGAAACCACAGTGCAAGAGTGCGTGCTGAGTGCCAGGGCCAGGTCCGGCAAGTTGTTCAACTCAGACCTTAGAGACTTTATCTCAGTGTCTCCATCGTATGACACTGTTCCACACGAGGTCTCATCATGTCTCTGTCATTTTTGTGTGTCGCTCAACGAGGGCCCAACGGGAAATGCGCGAATCGACAGCTGGCGCCTTTGGCACAAGCACCCAGGATGTGGAACTTGCCTCGGACACGAAATATCTACAGAAACTGAAGGCATCTGTGGATCCTTGAGATCCTGACACATCTTGGTTTTCTCAAAGACTTGCGTGCGCATGTTTCTTTCCTGCGTACAAACCATCCACTAGGCCAATGGTTCGATAATATTCAATATTCATTATATGTATATTATATATATAATATATTAATATAGATTTATTATATCATATGCAAGCGGTAGAAGTGCTCAAGTAGGATATGAAGAGTCACTGGAATCGATTGGACAAGGAGGGGTGTTCAACGCCTCATGAATCTCGCTCCGCGGCTCTTTTCAGCCAATACTTCACGGAATAGGCATGTCAACGCCTATGAGTGCGGTGGTAAAAACAGCATGCCCCCCGCATCTTCTTTCTCCTTGTGAGATAGTGATGCTACCCCTTGAACTTTTTCTCCAAAACCAAAACCAAGACAAAGAAAAACCAAACAAGACGAAAATCATTCCGTGGATTTCCATGGTGTCTCCGGCTCGGTTTCTGGCCCTTGACTCTTTCTGTTTTCAAGAGGCTCAAGGCCGAGCAGCTTCCTTTTCCGAGCTGACGCTCTTTCTTCATCTTCGACTATGCGCCACTTGTGGCCCATGCGGTAGAACAGGTGCAGTTGCTTGTGCTCGTTGCTCTTGGTCAGCCCGTTTGATAGCTGAGCTTCACTATGAACCCATCTAATCTCCACAGCATTGCGAATCTGGGCAGATTTCAAGGAGAGTAACTCCAGGTCTGTTCTCTTCTCAGCGCCCTTCACGGACAAGACCTCGGTCTCTAACTTGTCGTACACATTCCTGGAGTCAGTAACCAGGCATCCACTGATCTGGTTGACGACACTGTTGATGTCTCTCACATTGACTTGAGCTCCCATCATTTCTGCCAGTTGGAATCTCGCAAAAAAGAGGAGATCTTCTCCGTTGTTTGCTGCTGCTGCTTCTGCTGCTCCGGGGCTGCGGCAGATCCTGCCAATCTTCTGCGAATGCCAGGCGACAAAGGTGACTGGCTCACAGCTGCCATGACGTAACCGGTGAGATGAAATTCCAACTATAATGCCTTGTGTGCTTGAGCCATCTACGCGGTTCTGAGAGGCGGCATCTACCCATGCAAACAGTGACAACATGTGTGGTTCTATGGCATGTACCTTCATGCAGTGTTCTTTCATATCTTTGACTTTGTCAAGTAACCTGTTAGCCTTGTAAATGGTCTCTATAGTACTCTTGTTCACCTCTGACAACAGCAAGCCGACTTCAGCACTGAAGTGGGGCGCAACTTGTTGTGCGTGCCATGAGACCCCTCCCAGCAAGGCCCGAAGCTGTGTTTTCTCAGACTCCTCAGTGGGTGCATTTCGGTCTTTCTTCCTGAAGGCTCTCAGGTTAATATATTTCAGGTCTTCAACATACTTCGGTTGCGACAAAGAAAACGAAAAATCTTCATGTTGTTCCACTTGAACTCCGCATTGGGTAAACCTTTTTTCTTCCCAATCTCCCCATTTATATTCCGTTTGGATACTCTTGAGAACAGTACACCAACCCTCATGCGTTTCATCCCCACTAAAAAGGAAATCATCAACATGACCAGAAATAATCCCTTTGGTAACCCCATCAACCACATAAACCCAGCAGCATGCGTCACTCCAGCATTTTTGCAATCCGAGTTTTGCAAAGAAATCGGAAATGGAACGATACCATTCCAGTGGCGCATCAACTAAGCCATAGCAGGCTTTCTTCACTTTGGTGATTGACTCTGCTGGGAGTCCCATCCTTTCACAGATCTCTGGGCATGGTATACAAAAAAGGTCATCAGGGTATGGCCTGCTTTGCAGGAAAGCACCTGTCACATCACCTTTTCGCATCTTGTGGCGATATGAAGCGGCTAATTGCATCTGCAGTTGCCTGGTCTGGCGAGTCGTGGTTGGAGAAGTCGTTGCTCTCTGTTCATAGCATGGATCTTGGTATCCTAAGAGGACGGCTCTGGCTTTCGCCTTTCGGCTGCCATCCTCCTTCTGCTTCCATGTCAGTATCCAACGCATCTTCACTGCTTGTTCGCGTGCTGGGCGAAGTTTCTCTGGAAGGGCTTCAAAAGCCTTGGCAGCTATGAAGTTACTCACTTCAACGGCCTTTGCAGATCGGAACTGTTGTCGCTCTTCCTCAGATAGGTGACGCTCACAGACTTCAACTGCTGACCGTTTCTTCAAGCTACTGGCAAAATAAGAAGGGAGATCTCGAAGAGCTCGTTCAGATCCAGCACGTGTGTCTGGCATGGGAACCTCCACGGCCACGGCCGCGGTCTCATCCATCCAGAAGGTGCTCTCGGTGACTGCAAACACTTCCTGGATACTTGACTGGTTCCACCATGGTGGGGCAGCAGCCATGCCTTGTTGGGCACACATTCGAGGCCTCTGTGACACGGGTGCTCCTGAGGATGTAGAAGGCGTAGGCCTGGAAGTTGGACTCCTGGATCGCCCTGTTGGCCTGGATGTTGGAGGAGCCGGTCCCATGCCACTCATCTCATCTACCATGGGGCCTCGTTTTCTTGCACATCTTCTCATTGGTTGCCATTCTTGGACTGGATCTTGAGCTCGTAGCCATTCTGCATAAGAGGGTACTTCGGTGGACACATCCAGAAACTCGTTCCCTCCAAGTTGTTGAGCTACTCTATCAAAGTCCCAGTCATCGTACTGTTTGGCATGTAGTTCTTCTAAGAGGACCTCCCGCTCGGAGGCTCGACGTAGTTGCTCTGGGGAGCACTTGAGAAGTCTTCTCCCTCTGACGCACCAAATTGAGCTGCCCTGCTTGTGGGTCCCGTCGGGAGAGCGATGTTGCTCCACCGCCAGGATGCGGGCTGGCCCCACAAACGAGCCACCCTTAATGGCTGCTTGGCCGCTCACTTGCTTTCTCCACACATACACTAGGTCTCCTGGCTCATAGTTGGTGACATCTCTGGGTTTTGAGTTCTTGGCTTTTTGGAGTCTCTGGCTTGCCGTCCATTCAAGGAAGGCCTTTTCCGCACTTTGCATTCGCTGGAGCTGGCGATCCATCTCACCAGAGGCGTTCTCTACCAGCAGCTCTGGACATTCACTTGGGCCGCAAGGGAAAAGTCGCCCGGTGGCATCAGGCGCGCGGCCAAGGGCATGTTGGATGGGCGAATAGCCTCGGATCAGTTCTCGGCTATTAAAGGTCCTAGTGGCTTCAGCCAGAGCTTCTGCTGCGGTGACTGGGTCATCTTCAGCTATTTTGTTCATGAGAGTCTTGGTACCCTGAATAGCCTGTTCACAAATGCCCACCTTCCAGTGAGCTTCACCCGGAATAATGTCCAACATTATTTGGTGCCTATCACAGTATTCTTGAACCACATGACTCCTGAAGCTACCATCCGGATCAACCCTGAGTTGATTAGGAAAACCAAAATACTGAACCCAGTGTTCCCCAAACGTTTCAACAAACTGATTGGCAGTAAGGTGACTTCTTTTCCCCGTAAGAACAATTTTTCCAACACGAAAACGGCATCCCTCATCAACGAACATCAAAAATTGATAGGACTCCTTAGTTTGTGGGTGTTCCCAGTGCCCAATATCCCCTGACACAGACGCCCATTTTGGGGGGTGAGGCTCCAAGGTGGCTAAAGGTCGTGGCTTCGGTCTACCCCGTTCCTTACAAACTGAACACTCAAAACGTTCGGCTTCCCTGAGCACATCCTCTGACACTCCCCTGCGTCGCAGGGCTTGCACCAGGTGTCTGGTTGGCCCGTGGCCAGTGGCAGCATGTAAGAGGTACAGTCGTTTTCTTATTTCTTCAATAGTCAGACCCTGACCCCTTTGTTGGTTATCCTCCCCAACCAGAACTTCGTGGTTCCCCTTACTGTCACACTTCCCATGATTGGTTCCCTTGATTCTTTCATGCTCATCATGAACACATGAACCGCAAACAAAACCATGTTGAGAATCATGAATGTGGTGACAACTGCAGCTGATCCCATTACCAAAAGTTTCCCCAATTTGGTGGTCTCCCACAAACTCCCTTTTTAGGTCTTCATCTTCCGCTCCATGAATCAACGCATCACAGACCCTTCGGGCAAATTCGGGGGTGTAATAAGCAGTTTTGTTGGTAAGGGAACCCTCGCACTTCACATGTTTCTGGTGAGGCCCACAGCTACATGGCATGTTCATCCTTTTTGCCAACAAAGCATGAGTGGTCATGAGTTTCCAGCCTTTCGAAATTGGGTTTTTCTCATCATCAACAAGACCAACACGACAACCCCGTACCACAGCAAACCATGGATTATGTTTCTTCACCAGTTCCTGCATCATTGGAAGCCTCCATGCCTGACATGATTGTGACCATTCCCAAGTGACATGTATACCATGCTGAATACAGTACGTATATATGACACTGCAACCGACATACTGTTTCATGGCAGCTTTGCGCTTCTCAGAAAGGGCCTCCTTCTGAGCTTCACTTCTCTGGTTGATGTTTTGCATCACTGAAAAAGGTCCACAAACCGGAGAAAGCCAAACATGTTTTGGTTTATAATGGTCAATATCTTGAATGACTTTGTGAATCCCCTGGTTGGTTCCTAAATCATACTCATTGAAAAGTGAGCAGCGTCGGGCCGCACCCTCGTCACCTTTCTTTTGTTGCATGGTGCGAGACAGCACGCTGTCGGCCGAACATGCCACTTCCAGCAGCTCTATGCGCTGGTGTGATAGCAGGGCCTCAAAGGCATTCGAAATCAATCTGTCACTGCAATGGGACAAGTGTCTTACTTTTTGCTCAGGTAAGGCTTCCCATGAGCCCCTCCAGAGCTCACTGTCGACCTGCATTCCCGCCTGTGACAAATTAAAGTTTTCTACACTCCCAGCTGAAGCTACTGTGGGATCGGCACGAAAGAGCCTGTGGATGACTCTGTCATCTCGGAGACACTGGATGCTTCGACCTTCTTGTGAGGCCTCTCGGCTTTCAGATTGTCCACGTCCTCCTTGAGGGCGTGCATCATCTGCATCATCTGCATCATCATGTTCTCGGTCTTGCCATTCGAGCCGCTGGCCGGCGTCGATGTGTTCTTGTAGCCGCTGGAGGTC